ATTTTGAGGTGTTTGATTGACAGAAACGACGGTAGTCGACACCACAGCTTTATAATCAGTGATATCTTGAAATTGATTACGTAATGTGAAAGACAAGATTCAATATACGCGCTGAACCATTTTGTTAAGAATGTTGCGATTAAATAATTATGTTACAAACCTCATTTGTTCACAAATGTTTTGAGTTGACAAATAGCATATACCTAAGTACTTCAAAATAGTTTTGGTAATTTTGGAGTTTGCGTGTTTTGTGTACGTCTCTGGATATTAATTATTGTATATGAATACTCTACACGAAGATGTCATAGCGATTATATAATCAAAATAATCTGGCTATATTCAGGTAAAATTGACACAGCCAGTGTTTAAACATTTGCGTTTTATAATAAAAAAAAGACCAAATAGCCACTGTTACACTGAAAGGACCCAGGACGAATTAATAATTAATTCCCCAGATTTAATTTACATTTAACCTGTGGGTTCCTCAAACGACAAACATACCGTCCTACGTATTTGTAACAACAGGGGGTTGGAGACCAAACGTCCCTGCAAGGAAGTCAGTTCCATATAGGGGCGGTAGGGATCCTGGGGTGAATACATTAATGGTATTCAACAGTGATCAGCAGGGAAAGCAGAGCAAATGGCTCAGCCCACGTACTGTTAGATACAAATACGTTAAACACGTTGTTTATTAATAAATCGGTTCATAAGTTTCCGGGCTAACAAGTATCTATAGAATAATGAAAGTTTAGACTGATGTTCAGAATCTATTATCATTTTACATGTGATATGTCTACAAAGCCAACGCGGAATTCGGACTGTAAGTTTAAATGCGCATGTATAGGTATATCGAGACCCAAAGGAAAATTTATTGTGACCAATATTTTATTTTAGATCAACATTCCATACAAACATACTGATGAACTTTTATTTCCCGAACATGAGAACGAGTTTACATATCGTTTCCTGGATATGAAATATACGACAATAGTTCATTTAAGATACAGGCCAACATCGCCACCCCAGTACCTTTTGGTTATTACATAGACATTGAAAGTGGGTGAAGGTCATTCATTTGAACAAACTTAGTAGCCTAACATACCAACATACCACTGGCCAAATATCATTACCCTGGACGTTTGAGTTATTCAGAAGAAGTTGTTTGAAATCAACATATTTTACCACTGTCCCCTTACTGGCCAATAATCATAACGGTTGGCCTTTTGGTTATTTAGAAGAATATGATAGAAATTATCTTTAAGTGTTTTTTTCAACATCTGTTATCGCCCTAAGCATTTGGAATTTGTTTTTTAAACATTTGACCCCATTGACCTTGCCAGGGTCATTTCATTTGAATAAACCTGGTAGTCTTTTATCCTTGCATGCTACTAACCTGATATTATCACCCGGGGCATTTGATTATTGAGATGTTTAAATAACTTAATACATTTGACTCCAGTCAAGGTCACTCATATGAACAAACTTGGTGGTCCTTCATCCCAGTATCCGATTGGTCAAAATGCATCATCCTATTCCTATTGTTTACTGAGAGGAACACGTTTTACAAAAGTAGCCGCCTGACGGACGCTGCATCACGGCATATGGTAGCTTAGCTTGGCGCTTAAAATGGAGGAAAAAAACGTAAAGGTCACGGAGCAGATGTTGCTATTAACGAATTTGTTATAGAATCATAAAAACCTATTTACTCCGTTTTGTTGGAGGAAAGTTTATGACTTAACATCGTGGCCGAATTGATTTATTTACGTGACAATGTTCCGAGAAATAATACACCCCATATATTGTACAATGAATTGGCTTGGCGGTACCTGTTTAAAACTGTTGTTCTACTATAATAAATGAACTTGTAAAGTATGGTAACTCCTCTCAATTTTTTCTAAAGATGCTTGTTTGTGACAAACTTTGTCATTTACACGCAAGGGAGATAAACCCTGGTTTGATCCCGACTGTAAACGTGCTCCAAATGTTTTTAATGCAGCACGCTAAAAATACAACGTAAACAAAAAACCCAAGCGTAAGGCCGATATGCTATCAGCAGGTAAAAGTTACCGTAAAATTGTTTACAAATATTTTAACAACCACAAAAAGTCATTCCAAAACAAACAAAAAATCCCTCGAATGCAGAGTAAAAAACCCGAAAGATATTTGAAAATTAATAAATGGACTGCAGGTTTGGATATCTTATATGATTACCTATAGGATGTAAATAGTACGGTGTGATTTTACAAATATAAGCAATGATTTGCTTGATATTCCTATTACTGTACAAGAGATAAGTAAATTCGTTGTGCTGTTTAAATTCCACAAAAATTGTAAATCAGCAGGTCAAGATGAAATCCTAAATGAGTACATTAAGTCATCAATTGATATTTTGTTCACTTTGTATGTCGTACTTTTTAAATAAGTTTTTGATACAGGTATACTACCTGATGCCTGGTCAAATGGAGTTATCATACCAATATACAAAAAGAACGGCGGTCCTAGTCTACATGAAAATTACAGACACATTACCATACTAAGCTGTATGGGCAAATTATTCACCACTGATTTGAATATTTGAATAATCGATTAATATTTTTTATTGAAACTAACGATATTCTATCTGAAACCCAGGTCGGTTTTAGAAAAGGTTACTCTGTAACAGACCATTCACATACCTTATATTCTGTCATTACACATTTAAGAAGTCGAAGTAAAAACTGATTTGCACTTTTATCGTTTTCGGTAAGGCTTTTGACCATGTATGGAGATCCGGACTTTGCTCTCAGCTTCTAAATTCTGGAATATCAGGAACATGTTTTAATGTTATTTTTCAAATGTGTCAAAATATAAATACAAGTGTTAAACATAATGGTAATGTATCGCAATATTTTTATTGTCAATCTGGTGTATAACAAGGGGGAAATCTATATCCTCTGCTGTTTGCTATTTATGTTAATGACCTTGAGACCACCTTACATGGTCAAAATTGTAATGGCGTTGCTATAAGTGATAACATTTTAACAGAATCTTTGAAAATACCTATTTTAATATATGCTGATGGTACTGTCATCTTTGCTGAAAATGCAAACGACATGCAGATTGTGTACAGTGGAAATTATTAGTTTACACAAGTAAAACTAATGTCATTATTTTTGGTTCTAAATGCCGCAGGTTCCCGAATTTTCGTGTATTTGATCATGTTCTAGAGATTATCGATTGTTATAAATATATTGAATTAACTTTTTCTAAAAACTGTTCATTTTCACTGGCAAACAAGCATATAAAAGATCAGGCCACTAAGGCTGTGGTGTTTTTTATTTATTGAAATCAAGGATCCGCAATATAAATTTGCCAATTGATTGTCAGATTAAACTTTTTAATCAATCAATTTTACCAATATTGTTATACGGTTGTGAGATTTGGGGTTTTAAAAATTGCTCACTTATTGAAAAAGTACATACGGATTTTCTCCGAAGTATTATTAATGTTAAAAATGAGTACACCTTTATACATGTTATATGGTGAATTGGGACGTTTTCCTCTTGCAGTTTGTATTAAGAGCCGTGTTATAGGTTTCTGACTTAAATTAATAAATTGTAAGCAAAAAACAATATCTTACCGTATGTATAAAGCCCTATTTGCCGATAAGTGGTTCTCATACCCATAAATGCTTAACTTTTGTTGAAAATATTGTCAATGAGACTGGCTTCAGCTACGTATGGTTGTCACAAAACATCAACAACCAGTATTATAAGAACCTACCTCAGATTATTTTAGAAAGACTCAATAGTCAGTATTTTCAACTATGGTATGATACGGTCTATCATTCTGGTAAAATTATGTTATAGAATGTTTAAAAATGAAATAAAGCTAGAACCCTTTATTTTCATCTTACCGAAAAATTGAAGAAACACTCGCATAAGTTTTCGAACATGTAACCACCGACTTCCTGTTCTAGTTGGTAGATGGGGAAATGTTCCTAGGAATGAACGTATATGTTTACTTTGTGATCAACAAGTTATTGGTGATGAATACCAATATGTATTTGAATATAGCTGTTTTCGTACTGGGAGACGTTATAATATTCCCAGATAGTATTTCCGGTTTCTAAATACTATCAAATACCATGAACTATTTTGCACGACTAATATGAAATTGTTGAAAAACCTTTGTAACTTTCTGAAATGTGTTATGCAAACATTTCAGTCTCCATGCTAACTTACCTATTCCATTGCTGTCTATTGTTTAGTATGTATATTAGCCATGTATCGTTTGTATCGATCTGAGTGCTCAATTAAGTTCTGTTCTGTTTAAAAAAACTTGCCGGAAAGGCCCCTGTTACATTTAGAAAAATAAAATACACATTTCAGTGATATTATCGCCATATAATGCAGATAAAAGATGATCAGCGATAATAAACAAGTACAGATAAATAGATCAGCGATAATAAACAAGTACAGATAAATATCACAATTAAGGAAGGTATGGTTTGACTAGTCTTCCAATGATTTTGTATTCAACAGCTTAACAATTCACTGGCAATGCCATCGTTGTAGGAAATCAGACAGACGATTTATTTTCTGTACATATTTTCCTGTGTTGATTTGGAGCATGCTGTTGGTAATTGAATATCAGTCAATAATTTGAAATAAATAGATTTGTAAGCTAGCCACGCGTTGGAAAAATATAAGGAAATCAATTATATCCCTCACCAAGTCTCCCCTAAAATACAAATTAGTTTATTTCAATGGTGAGGTAGCAGAGTAGTCCGAATTATTGTGACGTTTTATCGACCATTTTGTATATAAAGTCTATCGACTTTTTTTATATCAAGTCTGTCGTCGATTAACCGACGACAGATAGATATAAAAAAGTCGATAAAACGTCAGAATAATTCGGACTAGTAGCAGATATGATCGTCGGGAAAAAAAGAAAAAAAATCCTATGCATCTTATCACTAGAGGATTAGCACGGTTCCAAAAGCCCGCCCGCCCCCTTCCTCTCATGCTAACACCAGCAGTCTATATATAGTTAATAAAACACAACACCATACTGGTGACAAAGCGATCACTTACCAGAGGGATTTAAGCCAATTTTTGCAAAGGTGACTACACGACAAGGAAATATAATTCATACAACATATGCGTAAATTCGAGGCGTCATCTAGACCCTTTTTGAGAAACGTGGGTAGCCCTTAAAAGGGCTGTTATAGTGATAATAGACAAGGCATGAAAAAACGGCCATCTACTTCTTAGCGGGGGCTTTCTTAGCTGCAGGCTTCTTAGCTGGTTTCTTGGCAGCAGCCTTCTTTGGAGTCTTAACCTTCTTTGGCTTGTCAGCTGCTGGCTTCTTGGCTGCCGGTTTCTTGGCTGCTTTCTTTGGTGACTTGGTCTTCTTGGCAGCAGCCTTCTTTGGCTTGGTTGCAGCAGCCTTCGTGGGTTTCTTCACCTTCTTTGCTGCTGGTTTCTTAGCTGCCTTTGGTTTCTTGGCAGCTTTGGGCTTCTCTCCAAGCTTGAATGATCCAGATGCTCCAGTCCCCTTGACCTGCTTAATGGTTCCCTTGGTAACAGAACTCTTCAGCGCAAGCTTCACTCTGGAGTTGATCTTGTTGGCTTCATTCCCGACTTTGTAGTTAGCTGTGATGTAATCTACAATCTTCTTTTTGGACGAACCGCTCTTCTCCTTCAAAGAGCCGATTGCAGCAGCGATCATGGCAGCGTAGGTAGGATGTGCTGGTGCAACCTTTGGCTTACTGGCCTTCTTTGTAGCCTTCTTGGCTGGGGAAGCAGCGACGGCAGACATGGTTATGAGCGTTGTGTCTTGCGTGTACCGAAGTAAACTCGAGAATGATCAAAAATTTGATTTTTCGGTATATATCGTATTTGCTCGCACCTCATCGAAGACACCCCTCGCCTCGGTGCTCGATAAACTATCTGAGCTTGTTATGTGTTTTTTTACTTCAAGTTTAAAACTTAATTTCAGTATTATTTCAGCACTTGTTTCGGTTTTCTTTTTTGTATGTTGAAAGCCATAATTTATATTTTATTAATGTATCATCAAAAGTGCCAAAATATTTTTGAAAATATATTTTTAACGCATTTTCCGAGCACTACTTCGTCATAATTTGCACTAAATCATTTTAAAAACGGCTTTTTATGTATATTTCTAAGGATTAAACGTAAATATTTCTCTGGAAAATGAAAGACTGAACAGTCGCCTTGACACAAATGTCATTAGTTTATAGTCACTCGCTTTACTGAATTATACAATCGCATTTACATCAGGTGAGAGAAACACATAATTCCAAAATAGCGCCATATGAAAGAACGACCGGTATAGTCGGCAGTATATCGTGTTATTTGCCTCGTTGTTGTCATTTGACAACCTGCTAACCGCGTCATTCATTTTTTTGTTCTGATCAAAGATACAAGTAATCAATAATTGAAGATTAATTTGAAAATTTGCATAAGTAGCATAAATGACACATTTTTATATCAGAAAATCTCCAAAAATCCTGGTTTTTATCAAATTTATATATATTGAAGACCAGTGACCCATGTATTATTGTGAAGATTATTTGTATTTGTTCATGAATGTTTCCGAACTAAAACCAAAAACCCTATTGTGACATCACCGTTTTGTTTATATATAGGATATTTGATAATTTTCGGTTTAACGCAATATCATCATATCTTTCACGAGTATGGTGGAATACCGCGATATTACCACAGTTGGTTAATACTAAAAGCAACAAGTTTAAATGGGAAGACGTAACATTTCGTTAATTTTCACTGCAGTGAATTAAGATATATGAGTTTTCAATTTTTTATTAATAAGATAATTCACGATTTTTCTAGGTACATGTTAATATAATAAGTAACTAAAACATCAAAGTTGTAAGTAGATTGATAACATATATATATATATATATAGTTTAGCTGATGCATTAATTGTAATATTTTTCCTGATCTGTGAAATACAGGCGATGTCGAGGATTTCAAAATATATATACCAATGTTGTCTCATTTTCTCTGGAAAAGAGGTTATGTAAAATATTTAGCAGTTGTACGTATATATATTGCCAAAATTGTCCCAGTGTCAATCATATTTAAGTTGCGCGTAACAGTTGTGTACTCTAGCAAGCTGAATTCTCGGTACAATGGATTTAGAGAGAAAGTCACAAACTAAGTTTATATAGCAACTAATAAAACTACATCTTAATTATTACTGACATTATTACTCTCCAAATACGTATGCAATAGGTATGTTTGTAACCATGTATACGTTAGCATTTTGCCGTTAAGAAAAAAAAACATACTTTGGCTAAAAGCGAATGTTATCGTTAAATACCTTTCATATGTATTTCATGTATTATTTCGAATGCAAAGAAAAGCATGCCTTCACTGAAAAGTAAGTATTACTTATACTTCTCTCTCTCTCTGTGTGTGTGTGTGTGTGTGTGTATGTGTGTCTGTCTGTCTGTCTGTCTGTCTGTGTGTGTCTGTCTGTATAATACAAGTATTATTGCTAATGGTGCACAATATCTATTCATTAAACTTAGTAATAATTGGTAGATTGACTCAGTATTTATGTAATCGCAATCAAGACAACATTGCCGAGGAGTTACCTCCCGTCTCTGTCAGTATGTTGTGTATCTTATACAGACATGTATATGCTACTTTCTGTGTTCTGTATGCATGTCATGAGAGATCACTCTCCAAATATAAATGTAATATCATGTATTATATTTATGTATACCTATGGGTAGTAAGGCCCCCGGAATAAACTTGAAGTGAATTGAATTGACATTATATAATGACATAATTGAATTATGTATAAACATATAAATTCACATTCAAAGCTAGGTTTCCTTCACCGACAGTAGACAACTTACAAATAAATAAATATAAAACTGATTAGTAGATAACTAATTAACAATAAGAACGCTAACTAGATCTGTACACACTATCTAATTAAACTACAGCAGGGATAAGAAAAATAGCACATGTTTTATTTTTTCCTTGTACAATCTGAAGTTGCAACGGGTTGATATAATAAGTAACTGAAATCAATTTAGCCAACTCTTGTGTTCTTATATATTTTGTTTATTGATGAGAGACACTTTCCCGTTAATTCTTTTTCAATTTGGCTACTGTGTTCTGCCTAGTGGGGTTACTTATGTACACTGCACAGGGACCGAGATCTGTTTGCAGGACACTGCATGGAGATATAATTTCTGGACACTCGATCACGTTAAAACAGTAAATACGAGCGACAACCGAACATCAGGTTGATCAACAACCCTTTTCTCTGTGACACAGGTTATCAGCAGACAGCAGGGGCCAGATTTCTTCAGGTTGTAATCACTACAGAAGTGCATTTTATGCGCGACGCAAAAATGCAGGATATTATGATCGAAATAAATTTGAATGAGATGACACTCTTGAATCTTAAATATAACTTTGACATTCTGGTATCTAAACATTCTGGTGTTACTGAGAATCCGCATACATTGCAGTCAGTTTTACGTTGTGATCAATAATGAATGGCGTATTTATGGAAATGTTATAACGGTCATACACCATGAGTTGCTGGAAGGATTACAGAATTACTTTGCAGTCTTTTTATATTTTCCTTAATTAGAAGATACATAGGTAATTTTGTATAACAACAATACCACCCAGGACTGTGATTCCACAGGAAGGGACAAGGATAAAATAAATTACAAGTAGTTGCCCGTTACCATATATTTTCGGAATTCCTAAGGGTGTTTCCTACCTTTTCTATCTTCTTCTAACAAACTGCATGCTAATTAATGCACAACACACCCTGTAACAGGGTTAAATATGACCGTGTCTTTTATTGACAGTATTTCCCTATTGCACTCTTTCATCATGGTACATTTTCCAAGCCGAGTGGCCCATAAAAGGAGCTTACTTAGTGTCAGAACCTAGTGGCTCATAGCGTTGAAGATCATCCCAGTGTCTAACCTAATGGCCGATAGAAGTAAATCTTATTCCAGTGGCCCATATAGAGTCTGAGTTTATTCCAGTGTCCATAGCTTATTCCAATGACCAATAAACCAAAGCGTATTCAAGTGTCCATAGAATCATACTTTATTCTAGTGACCAACAGAATCTGAGCTTATCCTGTTGTCCAGTTAAGTAGCCCATAGAGCCAGAACTGATATGTCCCAGTGTCCTCCAGTTTGCTCTACAGAACCAGAGTTTATCCAAGTATCCAGTTTAGTAGCCCATATGGCCAGAACTTATATATACCAGTGTCCTCCAGTTTGGTCTACAGAACCAGAGTTTATCCCGTTACCCAGTTTAGTAGCCTGTATGGCCAGAACTTATATATACCAGTGTCCTCCAGTTTGGTCTACAGAACCAGAGTTTATCCAATTATCCAGTTAAGTAGCCCATAGGGCCAGAGCTTACCCGTTTTTCTATGTCATGAAGACCTCTGAGATATCACCATATATTGAGAGATCAAATTTAAATCTTGCCATTGCAGTTATTTTCACATTAACTTATATCCCAATATCTTCACTTCACCAATTCAGGTTTAAATACATACAGAATCTGAACACCCCCTACTAGTCTCTAGTGTGAATACCATCATGATGGGAGCCATTCCAAATAGCTGGAACAAGAACATTACTCGATACCAGAACATTTAAGCAGTCGAACTATGCCTGGACTGGTAACATTTATAATGAAATGTCTTCTCTAATCTCTAATAATACTTTTTTTTATTTTATTTTTTATTTTTACCACTAACAACAGTTTCCCTAAAAGAACAAGGTAAAGACAACTACCACATGGTTACTTGGATACAAAAATAAACTACAAAACGGAATAAATGTATTACAAATTTAATAAATAAATCATAAATGACATGTATAACTTATGGATATTTTATACATAATTATTTCCCCTATTATAAGTAGTAAGTATACAAGTGTGAAGAGTAAGCTACCACGAACACAACTTCACAGTAATATAGGGAACACTTCACAATAAGCATCGGTTCACTTCTGTTTTCAATCAAACTTATTTTTTAATGACAATTTATTCAAACACATGAAATTGGACGCCATGACATATATTTTGTATTCACTTTTTAACATTTACTTACGCCAGCATTAAACCCATGAACTCACATCTATACACTGTTGTTTTTTTTATTTCATTTATATATCTAATCAAATTGCACTTTTTCTTACTAATTTTATTTGGTAAAAATGATCCAAACGGTGTACCAGAGTTGTTCGTTTATGAAATAAGGTCGGACCCAGTAATCTGATTCTGCTTTCAGGCGAGCCATGACAAAGCCTTGCAAGGCTTACATACATATTTATACCCGAAATTGTTTAATTTAAAAACAGAAAATCCGATTATTCTGCAGAAACGAACAGGCCCCTAAATCGAGATGTGATTAAAGGGAGATAACTGGCAAATGGAAACGGGAATGGACTCGGGAAGTGTTGTGTTCTAGTGTTCTGAGACCCATCCCCTGTCAATGGTATTTTTTTCCAGAAATGACCCTCCCTTTACATACTTCTAGTGGAATAAGGTTACAGATAGTGTTCTGTGTTGTCAGTCCCCTACAGAAAACCTGGATCTACATGTCTGTGACAGGTAATAGTTACCTATGGTGACCGTCTAATATTTAAAGTCAAACGACATCACCACCAGCTCTTGTATACTAAATACTTCATTTATCTCAAACTTTATATTTTTGGTCCCAAATCCATGTATTTCTATGTTATAAGTCTGCAACGACTCCGAAATATTGCTGTTTGACTGTGTCGCATCAGATTTTTTCTTTTTATTGAAATGTTAAGCTGTATTCAATTATCATTAGGGGATATAACTCTTCAGGGTTTTTTTCAGATTTGCAAATGTTTATCGGCAGTTGTACTGTTTTAAAGTGAATTTTACCTGCGACACAGGTCTCAAGTGTGCAAGATATTTAAACAGAAAAAGAGCTAAAATATTTTTTACATTGAACATGTGTTATTGAATGGTATGCTGTACTGGTAAATCAAAATTACTTTAACGAGATTCCTATTACACATTTACAAGGAAATAACAAAAAATGTTTTTAAAGCTTTGCTTATCGATAACTTTTCAAATGGGAATCTTTAAAAAATATAACATGCTTGAACTTAATGGTAAGGTGGACCGTTGGGCATTCGGAATACCCTTTCGTCATTTTCTACGAAACTGATGTCAAATATATATTTTTTTAAATAATATCTTCTGATGAATAATCAAAATGCCAAAATATCAATTTGGCTAGTAACATACTTGGATGAAGGGCTATAATAGGTTTTTTTTATTAGCTCACCTGCCCCAAAGGCAAGTGAGCTTATGTCATGGTGCGGCGACCGTCTTCCGTCAACTTTTCCTTTAAACAACTTCTTTGAAGAACGAACAGGCCTAGAGTCATGATATTTGGCTGAAAGCTTTGTTGGTAGGTGCCTGACAAAGTTTGAGAATTAAAATGACCTTGACTTCCTGGGATAGGGTCAGACTAAGTTTGAGAATGAAAATGACCTTTACCTACTTTCAAGGTCACATGAGTCAAATATGTTAAAAACTTTAAAAATAACGATATCCTAAGAAGCATTTGGTCTAGAGTCGTGTTACTTGGGTATGTTATATAGACAGTAATGAGGTATAATGTCAACTTTAGTGCTAGCCAGAGTAAAAGGTCATCGTGGGTTTAAAGATTTAAAACTTTAAACAGCAATATCCTTAGCGTTTAAGAGATGTTAAAATGTCTTGTGTTCTAGCACAGGCGCTTGTATCTGGTATTTAATACCTGAGCTAAAATCCAAAGCGCCTGTGATATGACCAAGTTAAATTACACCCACAGCACATAGACATGCAATTAGGAAAATAACCTCCACCATCAAACCTGTAAATAATATCTCCAAGAGTCTTGCTCATTATCTTCTAATTTTTAAAATAAATCATTAACTCATGTTCAATATTAAACTTCATATTCGCTAAAAAAATTATCAAAGTGGATATGTGGCCACACTACTAACATGTAACAGTTAATAACAAAAATCTGACTTTGAAATTCAGACTGCACACATGTATACAAAAACAATTAACAAAGATAAAAATATGTGATTTATTTATTAAACAGAGACAAAACAGGAGAATCTTATCATTACCTTACCATTATTAACTTATTCTCCAATATTTGTTCTCAGTATATGAATTAGTCTCTATTCGTTTGTCATCCTGACTCTACGTTATACTGTTGCAGTGACAAAATAGCAGATGCAGAGGCATGCATCGCCGTTAGCGGACTGTCCCAATCGGCACAGTCGTCGGTTCCCGATTGCGGACTGTCCATACATCGCTACGGGGCTGTCCCTGACCGTGTAGGATACTGGCATGCGATATCGATTTATGGTTCCTGTTTCGGTCATTAGTCGCACCCAAAAAACAAAATGGCAGGTTGTTTGGTTAGAGCACGATCAGCTTACCGGCTTCTTAATTCTGGACTCGCAAGTTGTGGTTCAATAAACAATGCAACATATTTGTTCCGAGACCTAGGATTCAAATTCAGTGGATCAAGCCCGTGTTCCTCTCTGACAAGGGAGGGGAAAGGAATTCAGCGCCTAGTAAGCATTGTCGGCAGGCTCAACTACTCTACCACACCCGTAGCGACAGTAGAGCAAGGAAAGCTCGCTGCTAAAGTGTTAACAGATTCGGATGCTGATATCCATCGACTAATTTGTATAGTTCTCAACGGAAGAAGTGGACAGAACATTAAAAATTTGCGATTGAGAACTGGGTTAGATTTTGACCTTGATACTAAAACAAATCGAGATCTAAGTCTTCTTGTTCTTGGGGCCGATGCAGAAGTGTTGAAGAGTGCAACAGAAAAAGTAACACAAGAAGTGAAAAGAATAAGAAACCGCATCGAAAAAGTTTTTGTAGATGAGGATGTTGTCATTAGTTATGGAATATATAGATGTATCCTTGGAAAAGAAGGACAAAACATACAAAGATTGAGATTGGAAACTGGATTAGATTTTCATCTCTCCTCTACCAGCACAGACCTACTTGTTCATGCGACAGATGCTGAAGTGTTGAAGAGTGCAACAGAAAAAGTAACACAAGAAGTACAACGTATGAAAACCTGCATAGAAAAATTGTTTACAGATGAGGATGTTGACATTCATAAAAGAATATATAAAGGTATCATTGGAAAAAGAGGGCAAAACATACAAAGATTGAGATTGGAAACTGGATTAGATTTTGATCTCGACCCCTTCAGCACAGGCCTACTTGTTTATGTGACAGATGCTGAAGTGTTGAAGAGTGCAGCAGAAAAAGTAACACAAGAGGTACAAAGAATAAGAACCTGCATAGAAAAAGTGTTTATAGATGAGGATGTTGACATTCATAATAGAATATATAAAAGTATCATTGGAAAAGGAGGACAAAACATACAAAGATTGAGATTGGAAACTGGATTAGATTTTCATCTCGACCCCTTCAGCAAAGGCCTACTTGTTTATGTGACAGATGCTGAAGTGTTGAAGAGTGCAACAGAAAAAGTGACACAAGAAGTACAAAGAATAAGAACCTGCATATAGAAAATTGTTTACAGATGAGGATGTTGACATTCATAATAGAATATATAGAGGTATCATTGGAAAAGGAGGACAAAACATACAAAAACTGGATCAGATTTCAATCTCTCCCCTACCAGCACAGGCCTACTTGTTCTTGGGGCCGATGCAGAAGTGTTGAAGAGTGCAACAGAAAAAGTAGCACAAATTAAAAAGTAGAAAGAATAAATAATTGAACTGGATAGAACAAAAAAAACATAACTGAACCATATTAACACATTAAATATACAGATGCTCATTATTATTACAGAGTATCAGGAATGCTAATTAATAAATGAGAAGAAATTAAAGATTGAAACGATTAGTTTACTTTTTAGCTCGCTGGCTCAAAGGGGGAAATGAGCTTATGCCATTGTGCCGCGTTCGTCTGGCGTCAACTTTTTACTTTTAAACAACTTCTTCTGAATAACCAAAAGCTTTCAAACAGCTTCTGAATACTGACCAAAAGGCCCAGGGTGATGAAATTTGTCCGGTAAAAAAATATAACATGTATGTATGAATGGCTACCTTTTTTCCTCAAATGAATGACCTTCACTTATATTCAAGGTCACAGGGGTCAAATATATTTAAAATCTTTATACGACTTCTGATGAATAACCAAATGGCCCAGGATGATGATATTTTGTCTGTAACTTGCTGGGATGAAGGGCCACTTTGTGTGTTTACTTTAAATGATTGACCTTGAGCTATATTCAAGGCCATATGGGTCAATCATCTTAATAACTTTTGGGGTCAATTATCTTAAAAAACTTTCGAACAACTTCTGAATAACCGAAAGGCCCAGAATATTAATATCTGGATAATAGCATGCTTAGATGTAGGGCTACCAATTTTATTCCAATAATTGACCTTCACTGATAAGGTCACTGGGGTGAAATATGTTTTAAAATGACTTATACTGAATAACAAAAAGGACAAGAATGATATTTGGTCAGTAAGATGCTGGGATTAAAGGCTACCAAGTTTGTTAAAATTAATGACTTTGATGTATATTCAAGGTCACATGGGTCAAACATGTTTAAAACTTATACAAGACTTCTTTTGAATAACCAAAAGGTCAAGAATGATAATATTTGGCCAGAAAGATGCTTGGGTAAAGGCCTAGGGCTACCAAGTTTATTTAAGTGAATGACCTTGACCTATATTCAAGGTAACGGGTCAAATATATTTAAAACCTGTAAACGGCTTCTTCTGAATAACAAAAAGGCCCAGGGTGATAATATTTGGCCAGTAACATACTGGAATAAAGGGCAACTTAGTTTGTTCAAATAAATTATCTTGACTAATATTCAATCAAAGGGGTTAAATATGTTTTAAACCTTCAATCAACATCTTCTGAATAACTATAAGGCCCAGAATGGCGTGCTTGGATGAAGGGTACCAATTTTATTCAAATGAATGACCTTGACTTATATCCAAGGTCACAGGTCAAATATGAATTAGATTCCGTGCCTGCATCAACTACGTATACATTCAATGTAACTTCAAGCTGGGATACAGTACTACACAGTTTACATACCTAAATATCTTGCACTTGAATTAAAAGGTATCCTAATTACCTGTAGTTTTTAGCTAAGGCGTTAGCCTCAAGCTATTGAATCACGACTCATATGAGTATAATGTTATCAAAATATTGCATATTTGTTGAAATAACAAATCCTTACTAAAAACTCTTAAAATTGAAACGACCGCCATGTTAGATCACGCGTGATGTTATCTCAATCACCCGTTTCTTTATATGGCCTACACAGCCAAATAAAGTATTACTACTGATGCCGTCATGTTTACTACAATTTCCATATTTGGTCATGACACCCATATTTGGACGTCTGACCTATAGGCAATCTGAAGACGGACGAAGTTTCCAACATGGCACTTGCTACATAAACTTGATAATTTAACGACATATATGGCATGCGGATCCTGTCAATTAATTCTAAAATCGCCCCCGTGTGATTCATCACACCCGGCTTGCTCAACTAAAAAAGGCATGGGATCACCCGGCTGGGGAAGAGGAGGCCGGGTATTAATATTAGTACTAGCCCCTGGCCTACTCTAGTTCCATATTGGTATTCTAATCTGAAGGCTTTTTTACCTTCGCAGTATTATCATTTTGTTCCATTTTCAGCCTAAGATATTCTATTGCGTTTTTATATCAATAAAAGATGAGGTGTCACAAACGCCTGCTCGCTAACAGCTCGGCCAGAAACGAAAAATATGCGCCGAAAGGCCTACATTTTGTATGTTTGTTGGTGTGATTTGTGTATTTCATTTATTCGTCAAGTATTACCATATAACGGGGCGATTTTTCATTATATACAATAACAACAACAAATGAATACTTGATGAAGATAAATCTATTTCGCCTTTGGAATGAGTTCAGACATGTACTATGAAGACGAGTGATCTCCCTTGCATTAAGCCTAGGCATGTGCACATTTTAGTTTCATTTTATGTAGGCCTAGACATCATTCACAACGCGAAGCAGAAAAGACGAAAATGCAGGCGAGTGTTGTCTTAATGTAAGGCAGGTTGTTTAAGCAGCATTGACATTGAACAATATGCATACATTTCGGCATCGTTTACCTACAACTGATTCATTAATAAGGTTCTGGATCCCGATTTCGGTGATTTGTGGCCAAGCATGTGGCCGCAGCCGCAGAGAATGACGCATGTTGTCAGCAGCGATGACAAAAAGTAAGGTGCTTCAATGATATGTATAGCAGTGATTATGCAAAAACAAACAAAATGAATGGACTTTACACTAGTGAAAACAAGTGTCACAAGGAACATCTTGTTCCAGACATGTTGCAAAATTTTCGGACTAGGCTCGGATGCGAACTGATTTTGCATTGTTTGTGAGGATATTTGGCCTTACATTTCTTCTGATTCAGTTGAAAAAAACCATGTTATAAACATTGCATTATTAGATTCATTGTGATTTTGGCTGTCATTGAAGTTTCAATTGTTATGCTACTTGATGTTTTGGAAACTTTAAAAAGTAGAGTAGTTCTAAATATTATGAAATGAGAGACACATTAGGCTACTTGTGTTTCTACTATCATCCGCAGGAAAAAAATAGGATAGGAAAGTATTAGCTATGCATTTTTTTTTTTAATTTGAAAAATATCTTTACTGCGCTTATATAGAGCAGGAGTTCTGACTTTAACAGTGCATATAAAAACTAGAGGGTATTGTAGGCACACAAATCTAGGATAGGTCGGGTTAGCCACAGGTGCTGGACACAACAAAAAGTAATGTGTGTATAATATATTATATAGTTTATACACATCATATTACTATTAGTGTGTCCAGTATCTGGGGTAAGCAGAAACTGGGTAGCATAGGCGAGGTGTTCCGAATGGGACCGTGTGGAGTCTTCTGGAATTCTTCCCTACATTGGAGAGTAAAAAAAGTGAGCTTATGGCATGGTGCGGGGTCCTGCGTCCGTCCAGCGTCAACTTTTTACTTTAAAAAACTTCTTCTCAGTAACCAAAAGGCCTAGGCTGATGATATTTGGCCAGGTGCATGCTGGGATGAAGGGCTACCGAGTTTATTCAAATAAATGACCTTCATCTATTTTCAAAGTCACAGGGGTCAAATATGTTAAAAACCTTAAAACGAGTTCTTAATAAGCAAAAGGACAAGGGTGATGATATTTGGCCATTAACATGCTGGGATGAAGGGCTACCAAGTGTGTTCAAGTGAATGACCTTCGCCCATGTTCGGTCACAGTGGTCGATATATGTTTAAATCTTTAAATGATTTGTTCTGTATAACCGAACGGCACAGGGTGATGATATTTTGCTAGAAGCATGCTGGGTTGGAAGACTATAAACTCTGTTCAACCTAATGTCCTTGTTCGACATTCAAGGCCACGGGCGTCAAATGTTTAAATCTTTTAATAGGTTAATTCTTCCCTACATTGGAGAGTAAAAAAAGTGAGCTTATGGCATGGTGCGGGGTCCTGCATCCGTCCAGCGTCAACTTTTTACTTTAAAAAACTTCTTCTCAGTAACCAAAAGTCCTAGGGTGATGATATTTGGCCAGTAACATGCTGAAATGAAGGGCTGACAAGTTTGTCCAAATAAATGACCTTGATTTATATTCAAGGTCACTGGGGTCAAATATGTGAATTTTTTCGAGACGACTTTTTCTGAATAATAAAGAGGTCTAGAGTGATGATATATGGCCAGTAACATGCTGGGATTATGGGCTACCAAGTTTGTTCAAATAAATGACCTTGATTTATATTCAAGGTCACTGGGGTCAAATATGTGGATTTTTTCTAGACGACTTTTTCTGAATAATCAAGAGGTCTAGAGTGATGATATATGGCCAGTAACATGCTGGGATTATGGGCTACCAAGTTTGTTCAAATGAATGACCATGACATATATTCAAGGTCACAGGGGTCAAATATGTTAAAAACCTTAAAACGAGTTCTTAATAAGCAAAAGGACAAGGGTGATGATATTTGGCCATTAACATGCTGGGATGAAGGGCTACCAAGTTTATTCAAATAAATTACCTTCATCTATTTTCAAAGTCACAGGGGTCAAATATGTTAAAAACCTTAAAACGAGTTCTTAATAAGCAAAAGGACAAGGGTGATGATATTTGGCCATTAACATGCTGGGATGAAGGGCTACCAAGTTTGTTCAAATGAATGACCTTGAATCATATTCAAGGTCACTGGGGTCAAACATGTTTAAAACCTTTAAACGACTTCTTCTGAATAACCGAAAGGCCTAGGGTGATGATATTTAGCCAGTAACATGCTGGGATGAAGGGCTACCAAGTGTGTTCAAGTGAATGACCTTCGCCCATGTTCGGTCACAGTGGTCGATATATGTTTAAATCTTTAAATGATTTGTTCTGTATAACCAAACGGTACAGTGTGATGATATTTTGCTAGAAGCATGCTGGGTTGGAAGACTATAAACTCTGTTCAACCTAATGTCCTTGTTCGACATTCAAGGTCACGGGCGTCAAATGTTTAAATCTTTTAATAGGTTCTTATGTCTCAATGCGTCCAAACTATTGCTAGTTCCAGCGTAGAGTGGCTGGTGGCGGAATACCAGAAAGGGATAAAGGGCGGATCAGTGGGAGTGATGGGTATATATATAAAGTCCGTAGTAAGTCATACAGTCCGTTTGTCACTGGTCAGTCTGACCAACACTGGTGGCGGACTACTCACGTGAGTAGTACTCACGTGAGTAGTACTCATGTAACCCCATCCACAATACCTTCACACACACAATGACACACAGGTATGGTAAACATCAGCTCATCCAACTACTATGTAATAAAATGTAATTAATAATTTCCTGCAAAATAAAGAAATCAACAAAGAAATCACAATTAAATATTTAACCAGAAAATTCATCTTCGGAACCCGTAGAAATCATCGAGAAAACCACAGTTAATAAATTTCCAGACAGTGGCATAACACTTGTTGTGCTATACAATACCACTGATAAAAATATTTCACCTCTCTATGTAATGGAATGGGCTTTGGTATATATATAGGGCTCATCAGTAATTGACATGTTGCAAGTAATCAAGCTATAAAGTATTGTAAAGCCAGTTAACACGGACATCCAAAGACCTTATATTCCAACAGCCACTACAAAGAATCATTAATAAATAGATAATATCAACTTCTGCTCATCTCAATAAGACTGCTGTATAAACTATAAACTCACATTATATAAACAAACTGAACCAATGATAGGATTACTTTTTAAAAATGTCATAACTTACACCCACATGATCAGATACCTAAGACAACCTATCTTTTATAGATATTGTACCAAGGTTCAACATTCATTTTGTCTTGCGACTTGTACACAGAACCCCTCACATAAGGACTGCCTTTCCACAATGTCACCCCTTTATGGAGAAAACCTCCCTACGAAGTCACCTGTAATGAAAACCTATGTACTCAGAACACCTGTTTAATATGAACCACTGGGTATGGTGTATATCACATCAGAATACCACACACCTGATCACCTTTATACTACAGCTACCTGTCTAATACGACCATTTCACAATGGTCACAAGTTCCTAAGTGCTCAATGTACCCAATTTTACCTTATAACGTAGATCTATTAAAATTAATCCGACCATTTTGCTCAATAAACCACTCACTACTCTACAATAAAACCTAACTGTTCAAAATGTCTCGTCAAAATGTTTGGGGACTAATTGAGACTTGATCCATGCTCCATACCAGTCTGGGGGATTTCGTGTCCTGTCCGACGAACGTCGCACTCCTGCAGGATTAGCAGCTTCCGTATCGGACCTGGAATCCTCCCTGTTCTCTGCTGGTGGAGCATCTTGTGTCTCAGTCTTATCAGAGTTTTCCAAGTAACCTGATGTCGGAGTTTTTTTTTCCATGGAAACCTTTGGAGGAATGGGATTAACCACTGGGTTTGGCAACCTATATGGAACAGGGGGAGATAACTCTGGTGGTGTTGGGCTGTTTTCTGTGGAAACCCGGGGCAGATTAGGACTCCTAACCGGTCCAGGGGTCCTATCCGGAGTAAGGGAGACTACCCCTCTTGGTTTCCTCCAATGAGGAATGACTACCTGTCACCGACCGTGCTCTATTCGTCCGTCTCTGAGCTGGAACTCTGTTCCGCTTGGGACTTTTCCCTACGGACCTTATTTCGGCGAACGTTGCGATTCGCCAGAGCTTCATTTTCAGCCCAGTCAGACGGAATCGCTGTAAATAACAAAAGCATTTCCTATGGGAGATTATAAGCATCCTTCCGAGTGTTGTTATTGAGCATTCTGTAATCGATACAGAACCTCAAGGAGCCATCTTTTTTTCGAACAAATTTGATGTTTGACGAGAATGGGGAATTAGATTCCCGGACACATCTGCAGTGCTTGTCATACCAGAAATAACCTTCTTACATGGTCTAATAATATTAGTACCAACAATCTCAGGGCACCTCCCATTGTACTCGGTGTCTGGCACTATTAAGACTGGAACTGGGATCTCGAGACCATTTAAAAACGGAACTTGAACCCACGTCTCGATATAACCCAAGTATTTCAACCTTGTACCATCAGCTATTGACACCTCTAAACCTAACACATCTAAATCTCGCAACTCTGGGCTATCTTTCAACTGCAAATAACCTTACTCTGCCAAAGTTGTCACCATTGATACACTATCAATCAACGCTACGATTTCTTCACCGTGAAGAACTATCTTACTCTCATTCTTCTCTCCAACTATCCTATTAAATACTTGTTGGCCTTTGTCTGGTTGGGTACTGGTCTCTACGTGGCCAGCAGCAGAGACCTTTAGCCGTTTGGGTTATGTAACCACCACCTGTCTGTTGACCTCTATTGCCTCGACCCCTTCCTCTCTGACCTTGACTTTGACCTCTATTCTGTCCTTCTCACTTGCAAGCTGTTCAACTTGTCTAGTACCTTGGAAAACTGGTCATTTACCTTTTCATCTAGCTTCTCAAACTTCTTGTCAAACTTCTTTTCCAAATCCTCTATTACGCTAAGCTGCTCGGACCTATCTCCCTGAACCAAGTGTTGTTGGACCTTTTTCGCAGAACTGCTTGTGGTCTTAACTCCACTACTAATACTTATCTCACTCTCGACAATACAAATCTCTTTTAGCAACTGGTCGTAATCTAATATCGTATCAAACTTATGCCGAGTCGGACTCTTCAACTTGTCACAAGATAGTGACGACCAGAACTTCCTGCGAAGCAAATCATTCTTGGAATATCTATCTAAATGTCTATGCTCTACAGTCACTTGTAACATGCTGTCTAATCGACAACCAAAATCCGTAGCAGTTTCCCCTGGCTTTTGATAGGAGTTAAAGAATTCTTGCATTATTCTGGCATTCTCTAAGGGACCTACGGATAGCTTGACCTAAGATACTCTCAGATATTACAGGGTCATCAGCTAAATACTGGACTTCATACCGCCATTCCCTGTAAGTAACTTCATTCTTACGAGGTTGTTGCTCCCTACCTACCGGTATGTTGAGAGATCAAATTAAAATCTTGCCATTGCAGTTATTTTCACATTAACTTATAATAAGTGGCCACTTTATATGGAATTTCCTAAAATGTTCACCAATTCAGGTTTAAATTCATACAGAGTCTGAACATCTCCTACTAGTCTTTTGTGTGAATACCATCATGCTGGGAGCCATTTGAACAGCTTGAAAAATAGCTTGAACAAGAACTGTTCTTGTCGTACATTACTCAATACCAAAACATTTAATTAGTCTAACTATGCCTGGACTGGTAACATTTATATTGAAATGTCTTCTCTAATCTCTAATAGTATTTTTTTTAATTATCATTTTTTTTTTTTTACCACGGACAACAGTTTCCCTAAAAGAACAAGGTAAAGACGATATCACTACCACATGGTTACTTGGATACAAAAATAAACTACAAAACAGAATAAATGTATTACAAATTTAATAAATAAATCATGAATGTCATGTATAACTTATGGATCATTTATACATAATTCTTTCGCCTATTATATGTAGTACGTTTACAAGTGTGAAGAGTAAGCTACCACAAACACAACTTCACAGTAATATAGGGAACACTTTACAATAAGCATCGGTTCACCAGTTGTTCGTTTATGAAATAAGGTCGGACCTAGTAATCTGATGCTGCTTTAAGACAAAGTCTTGCAAGGCTTGCATACAGACCTGGGTTTATACCCGAAAATGTTACGTTTAAAACCGAATGGGCCCTTAGATCAAGATGTGATTAAAGGGAGATAACTGACAAATGGAAACGGAAATGGAAGGTTCTGAGACCTCCCCCCTGTCAATGGTATATTTTTTCCCAGAAATGACCCTCCCTTTACATACTTCTATGGGAATGAGGTTACAGATAGTGTTCTGTGTTGTCAGTCCCCTACAGAAAACCTCTACATGTCTACCACAGGTAATAGTTACCTATGGTGACCCGTCTAATAATTAAAGTCAAACAAAATCACCACCAGCTCTTGTATACTAAATACTTCATTTATCTCAAACTTAATATTTTTGGTTGCAAATCTCAGACTCCGAAATATTTTTGTTTGACTGTGTCGCATCAGATTTTTTCTTTTTATTTCAAAATGTTAAGCTGTATTCAATTATCATTAGCGGATATGTCTCTTCAGTTTTTTTCCAGATTTGCAAATGAGTGAGTTTTACCTGCGACACAGAACTCAAGTGTGCAAGATATTTAAACAGAAAATAGCTAAAATAATTTTTACATTGAACACGTGGATTCATCATGGGTCGGGTATGCTGTACTAGTTACTTAACGAGATTCCTATTACACATTTACAAGCTTCAAAGGTGGTAGTTCCTTTCTTTTTCTATTTTCGTTTTCAAATAGCACTCAAATTTTCCAGATATCATAACATCAAACAAAAACAAAAGATATTTCGTTCTTGTAAAATTGACTTAAGCTTTGAATACATCCCTCTCATTTACATACTTCACACATTATCGCAGAATTGTCACGAATTCCATCAATCATACCACTTCTAGTGCTAATGTGAATCCAAGTCTGTTTGTCCCTTAAAACATTTGTATGCCAGACCAGATCATTTGTCTAACTGTTCTTCCTTTTTCTTTTAAAAGTATAATTGGTGATGAAATGATTTTGAATGTCTGATTTTTTCTTTGCAACATATCTTAACAACAAGATTTCATCATGTTTCCGCAAAAACTATGTCACTTCTTTCGTACACTAAAAAAAATGGAATAGAAATAAAACTACTAAAATTTCAAAATGAAGTAACTCTCGTAATTGTTCATATCAAAAACTTGAAAATCAGTAAAACTGATGGATAATGTTTCCTGAAAAGGTCACCGAGACTGTCGCAAAATGTGTGAGACCTTGACCTTGAGCGTAATGACTACAAAGTGGTATATGACACACACCCTTACCATACTTAATATATCTAACAAATTTGGTAGAGCTACAGTATACCGTTGGAAATATCTTAGCTCTCAAGTCCAATCTAGACGTGATGTTGAATTGCATACACACACCAACAACGTATGTGCTATGCATTCTGTGGTAACAAACAGAACTCATTATGATCTCAACTTAACAAAAGAAAATGTCAGATTTTAAAGACATAGATCAAGTGATGTAGACAGCAGAATTTATATCAGTACATATTTTATAAATTCCAAGTTCCGTAAATGCTGTCCATCTAAACAGCACCGTTATATCCTGATTTGGATCAAACAAATCTGGACAACTAGCTTGCTGAACACTCACACACAGAAACTTCACAGATGATTATTATTTTCTTTCATTAATCCTGGAGTTTTGGCTATATAAAACACGATTATACTGTTTATGCATACAATCTGGATTCTTCAAAAATCTACATATCAGACTTTCAGACATTAACTTGATTTGTTTTGTAACAGATATGTCATCAGACCTAAACACTTTTAACATCATTTCACAACCTATACTCATGAAATGGGTTTAATTCTCCAAACATTGTGTGAAAATTATAGCATCAAAATCTGGTCCCAGTCAATCTGATTGGAGTACACCTCCATCTCAAGCCAGCGTTCGTAGTTTTGTTTGAATTCTGGACTAAGTTCTATCGATTCTCCCAGCACACTAAGAGTACACGTGTCCAAAGGTTTGAAGTCTGGGTCTGTCCCGTTCACTCCGTACCTCCGATTGTTGAAGCGGTCAACACATGCACGTAATGCACACTCCTCCGCTTGGAAATCCCAGGGACGAGCATCCATGTCTGAAATGTGTACAAAATATACCTATGTATCAGGTTCAGAGAAAACACCTAAACTTGCCTATGATTCTGTAAACCATTATACTTTTGCTGAGCCAAATTTTCACCATTCTGTTCTTCAAAACAAATTTGCTCCTTGTTGAAATCACCCACATATACTTACCAGAATATCCAGTTATATATGTAATAGCAAAAAGAGTCAACATTTAACACTGTGCTTGTAATTAAGAAAACACTGGATTTTTAAGATATTTTCATTGTTCTGCTGACTAGCAAATATGCCAAATGACTTATTTAAAAGGATAGGAGTTTGCAAACTGGACAATAAATGTGTCGTGATATCTGAATTTGCAATTGACCTTCCTTATTAATTATGGACTTTCTCTATGACCTTTCTTGGATTTAACGTAAATCTCTTAATTTTCCAAGAACTTTTACAACTATGTCATATTTGCAGGGATTTGAATTCCTATAATGAACTAAAACAGACCTAGATACCTTGTTTAGTGTAGTGCAGTATATATTCATCATCTACTGGAATTTGTTATTGTTGTGATCATGGTCAATGTTCTTAATGCAATAATGCCAAAATTTATAACTACATCATGCACATTTTACAAAGTTTTAAATGTAATACATGTATATCTTAAATTCACAATTTACACCAATTTTTTAAATGAAATCAAAAACGTATCTGACAATTACCATTGCCGTAAGCCCAGTCGTCGTTTAGCCTATGGCGCACTTTCTGGTAGATGGCAGACATGGTTTTCATGTTGCTCTTCCTCCACTGTCGGCCCAGGTATTTGGTCTGCATCTTCAGGAGCTTTAAGATGTACAGTTGCATCATGGCATGTTTGACCTTAAGAGCTCGTTTCAGGATGGGGGCGGATTTGAACACTACCAACATCTGTAAAACAAGGTCAAACACATCCTTTATATAGTACACAGCTTTACGACTTTCAGAGACAAAAGGTTTTGACCTACAAATTTTAGTTTAGAAGCTGTACTGCAGGGCTAGACAATAAACGTAGCCTGATAGTCTGAGACGAGTGAAATATCCAGACTAGTGGTTCTAAAAACTGCTTGTACAATTCAGGTGTCCAGATTCTACAGGACTATAACAAGCTTACCATTGTTCTCGAGTGCTTCCATTTAGTCAGCTTGTTGAGTATTCGTAAGAGGTTGATACAGGAGAACAGATTTCTCCAACAGAACGGTTGATCATCACCATTTTCCTGAAACAACAAAAAGACAAGTGAGTCAACTGAAGATTTTTTGTTCTCTTTACCTTTAAATATAGAGAAAGCTACCATCACTGATAATTTCAAAGTAACTTAAAAATAAATGCAGTCTTCATTCATGTTAACTATGTTTTTAAATGTATGAAATGAAAATGAAAGCAACAATTTTCTTATTCTAACTTAATTATACTTACCTCGCAATGCTTGATTTTGATCCTTTCCATCGATATTTATATTTTTGTATGCCTTAAATGTTTTTCTCCAACAGTACTAGTACACACAGATTACAAAGCTACACAGATCTATCCTGACAATATACATAAAATATGTACAGGATTTACAATCCTTTGACAGCTCATAAAATAAATATACACGATGATAATTAATATTTTTTCTTTATTTAACATTAATTTTGTGGTTGATTTTTCCAGTGCTCATCTGTTTTGTGTTTTGCATTTACTTATATATTAATACCTGATATATTGTTTTCCTTTTGCTTCACTTTCATTTCAAACCTGATTAGGAGCCAACTTAGCAACTCTAAGATCTTGTAAAATAATTTGTCATTTCAAAAACAGATATTGTTTAAACATGAACTATATGGTATAAAAAATCTCTGAAATTATTTCCAACATTCTGTGAAGAAATTTGTTGTAAGCTGATATGCTGGAGTTCTAACACAGAACACTGGGGTTCAAAGTTCAACATTGTCACACTCTTGATGTGAAACCTTGGCTGGTTGATACGACAAAGTATGATACACACTCACCAGAGCCTCGGCAGTGAGTTCTACAGGGCCTCCAACAACACACCGTGGGAAGTCCAGCACAGGAATACTGAAATATAAAAGGGAGGATCATATAAATCAAAAAACTTCTATACATTACATAAGACTTACATACAGTAGAACCTTGGTATGTCCAAGGATAAGACTTACATACAGTAGTTAAGAGTTTACATAAAAATCCAACATGATCATATTACAGAATACTACTTTACATAAAGTAGAACATTGTTAAATCAGTCTTCGAACTATGAAATCCTTTTTCAAATTTCAGTGATTTGGTATTGGATGAATGTAGTAGCGCAATCATAAGTTTGCGATGTCAGATGAGAGTTCACATGCATGTAAAACAAATTTGATAGATAAGACATAGAAATCAACTTTCACTTTGTTCCTGGACAAGCTCCATTATCGTGGGGAATACATGCACAATGACTGTCAAGGATGTTATGTAAATTTGCAAAACCTGTGTGTTTAAAACACATTCAGTTAGTAACAATGTTCCCAAAGATATTACTAAATACCAAATCCTTAACTATACAATGAATCACGCTGAAACATCTAGGCCTGCTACCCATCTTCTTCACAGATATACCATACATATACACACCACTGTGTGAAACAACCAACATCATTAACTGAGACTGAAACAAACAAACCGTGTAGTGGAAAATGCTGACTTTACCTGTTTTTGGCTCCAATGTATGACATGATGTTCTGGTTGAAGAATTTGAGTACCAGAGGTATACAGTTGGCAAACACCAAGTGTTGACTGAGGAATTCAAACTGAAACATGGAATGTGGAGAAATACTTCACACAATTGTAATACATGTCCATGTGTTAGTAGAGGTTTCCCCCCACAAAATAGTATCAAAGTGTACGCTAGTAATTTCGCTCCTGATGGTTTATATTTGTATAAGATGAATAGACAGCAAAATAATTTTCTAATTTCAATTTTGGCAGAGTTGTTTAGATATCCAAGATACAACAAAGTTTTTTTTTCTCTTTTTCTTCATTTTTATTCTCAAATATTTGTCCTATACAAATTACAGAAGTGTGTTATCCTCACAACTTTGACAGTTTGTATCAGTATTACCAGCCCGGTCTGTATTCGGTAGTTACCTGGTAGATGTGGTTGAGTTTGAAGTTTTTGAGAAGCAGCAGAAGAAGACCAGATATGGATTTAACAATGACTTCTTTGTGTCTGTTCACATCAATCCCAAGCTTCATCGACTGTAGAACTGTGGTACTGAAATAAAGTAAACACTCCAACCAATGACACAATCAGACAAAGTCCATACAGCTAGTCATGTACATGTATAGCTAACTCAGACAGTACGATGTCCCGGTATACAGGCAGCACTCCAACCAGTGACACAATCAGACAAAGTCCTTACACCTAGACAGGTACATGTATAGCTAACTCAGACAGTACGATGTCCAGGTATACAGGCAGAACTCCAACCAGTGACACAATCAGACAAAGTCCTTACACCTAGACAGGTACATGTATAGCTAACTCAGACAGTACGATGTCCAGGTATACAGGCAGCACTCCAACCAATGACACAATCAGACAAAGTCCATACAGCTAGACATGTACATGTATAGCTAACTCAGACAGTACGATGTCCAGGAATACAGGCAGCACTCCAACCAATGAATCTGTTAGACAAAGATCTCACAGATTGACATGTATATACAGCATTTATCTGGTAATAAGCCCATGCTTGGTAATAAGCCCATGCATATTATTTGCATTTCTATTGAAGAAATGCCAACAAATGCTATTTCATGGTCATGTAATAAGCCCAGCCCCTACTTTGAGTCAGAGATTATGTGTTGTCCTGTAATAAGCCCAGCCCCTACTTTGAGCCAGAGATTATGTGTTGTCCTGTAATAAGCCCAGCCCCTACTTTGAGCCAGAGATTATGTGTTGTCCTGTAATAAGCCCAGCCCCTACTTTGAGTCAGAGATTATGTGTTGTCCTGTAATAAGCCCAGCCCCTACTTTGAGCCAGAGATTATGTGTTGTCCTGTAATAAGCCCAGCCCCTACTTTGAGTCAGAGATTATGTGTTGTCCTGTAATAAGCCCAGCCCCTACTTTGAGCCAGAGATTATGTGTTGTCCTGTAATAAGCCCAGCCCCTACTTTGAGTCAGAGATTATGTGTTGTCCTGTAATAAGCCCAGCCCCTACTTTGAGCCAGAGATTATGTGTTGTCCTGTAATAAGCCCAGCCCCTACTTTGAGTCAGAGATTATGTGTTGTCCTGTAATAAGCCCAGCCCCTACTTTGAGCCAGAGATTATGTGTTGTCCTGTAATAAGCCCAGCCCCTACTTTGAGTCAGAGATTATGTGTTGTCCTGTAATAAGCCCAGCCCCTACTTTGAGCCAGAGATTATGTGTTGTCCTGTAATAAGCCCAGCCCCTACTTTGAGTCAGAGATTATGTGTTGTCCTGTAATAAGCCCAGCCCCTACTTTGAGCCAGAGATTATGTGTTGTCCTGTAATAAGCCCAGCCCCTACTTTCAGTCAGAGATTATGTGTTGTCCTGTAATAAGCCCAGCCCCTACTTTGAGCCAGAGATTATGTGTTGTCCTGTAATAAGCCCAGCCGCTACTTTGAGCCAGAGATTATGTGTTTGCTCCTAGGCTTATTGCAGGATTAATACAGTAGTTAAATCAGATAGTACAGCTTTCTCAAAATACAGGCGTCTCCCCAATTTGTATAGTTACATCAGATTACTTAATTTTACCACAACATAGCCAGGTATATACAATGTACATACAAAATGGCAAGGATTCATCATCCCAGGTCAAACCTTTACATTTCCTGTACTTTCCAGCATCTTTGTGACCTCATATTTATAAATTCATCAGGCAAGATGGAAATTTACCAACGCATTTCAGCTGACAGTAAAATTTTCAATCCCAATCTGGACTCGGTACATAAATACTTACGGCATTTCCTCGGGCAAGACATCTGATAAAATATTGATGGAGTCGGTTTTCGTCTTTGACGTGGGTGCGGCTGCCAGTAAAATCTTTAGTAAAGCTATCTGAAATTACAGATTATAACCCCGATTGTCTGTAATGGAATTTAAAAACTCATTTAGGACTCAAATGTATCAGGCCAAACTTGAAAAGGAACGCTCGAAGACTATTTTGAATACATACCAAAGCTTGGAACTTTCGACTTAATTATCCACATTTAACCATTTTAAGAATATGAACATTATTTTTCCCTACTCAGTCTTGCAGTCAATTGCATAAAATCAGTGATCTGTCACCCATAGAGAAGTTCTGTTACAGAAGCTCTGCCTTATAGATATCAGGATACTGTACCATGTATTGTGGGAGGTTTGGTAGCATGGCCTGGAACAGGATCTCCACTGGGGAGTTGGGCACTTCCTTCTCCGGCTGTGAACAAATTAAAAAGTAAGAGGTCACGTTTTAATGATAGGTCCCGATTATTCTATCATTCCCGATTATTCTATCATTCCCGATTATTCCGATTATTCTATCATTCCCGATTATTCTATCATTTCCGATTATTCCGATTATTCTATCATTCCCGATTATTCTATCATTCCCGATTATTCTATCATTCATTTGTGAATGCTTGAATTACTTTGTTGAATCATCAATGTTTACTTACGAAAATCACAAATTGGTGTAACAAAGAGCAACTAATTACTGTATATTTAATTTATAAAATGTTTAAATCTCATGAATAGTTTGAAAATATTAATTCAGAAACATTTATTTAAACCCTGTAAAAAATAATCAACTAAACAATGCAGGCCGTTGCAGCCAGACCATAATGGTCTCTAAGACAGGTTTGTCTGTATACAACACTTGGTAAATTGATACTCTTATGTTTAAAAAAAGGTACCTGGGACAGGGGATTCAGTCCCTCGGACAGGGGATGCAATACCTGGGACAGGGGGATTAAGAACCTGGGACAGGGGTTTCAGAACCTGCAACAGTAGATTCAGTACCTGGGACATGGGATACAGTACCCGGGACAGGGGATTCAGTACCAGGAACAGGGGATACAGTACCTGGGACATGAGATACAGTACTTGGTAAAGGGGATACAGTACCCGGAACAGAGGATACAGTACCTGGGAAGGGGTTACAGTACCTTGGACAGGGGTTACAGTACCTTAAACGGGGGATACAGTACCTGGGACAGAGGATTCAGTACCTGGGACAGGGGATTCAGAACCTGGGATAGGAGAAACAGTACCTGGGACTGGGGATACAGTACCTGGGACTGGGGATACAGTACCTGGAAGAGCGGATACAGTACCTGGGACAGGGGATTCAGTACCCGTGACAGGAGATTCAGTACCTGGTACAGGATTCAGTACCTGGGACAAGGGATTCAGTCCCTCGGACAGGGGATACAATACCTGGGACAGGGGATTCAGTCCCTCGGACAGGGGAAACAATACCTGGGACAGGGGATTCAGTCCGTCGGACAGGAGATACAATACCTGGGACAGGGGATAAAGTACCTGGGACAGGGGTTTCAGTACCTGCAACAGTAGATTCAGTACCTGGGACATGGGATACAGTACCCTGGACATGAGATACAGTACCAGGAACAGGGGATACAGTACCTGGGAAGGGGGATACAGTACCTTGGACAGGGGATACAGTACCTGGGACAGAGGATTCAGTACCTGGGATAGGGGATTCAGAACCTGGGATAGGAGAAACAGTACCTGGAAGAGCAGATACAGTATCTGGGACAGGGGATTCAGTACCTGGGACAGGGGATACAGTACTTGGAAGATGGGATACAGTACCCGAGACAGGGGATTCAGTACCTTGGACAGGGGATACAGTACCTGGGACAGGGGATACAGTACTTGGAAGATGGGATACAGTACCCGGGACAGGGGATACAGTACCTCGGACAGGGGATACAGTTCCTGGGACTGGGGATAAAGAACCTGGGACAGAGGTTTCAGTACCTGGGACAGGGGTTACAGTACTTGGAAGATGGGATACAGTACCCGAGACAGGGGATTCAGTACCCGGGACAGGGGATACAGTACCTGGAAGAGGGATACAGTACCTGGGACAGGGGATTCAGTACCTGGGACAGGGGATACAGTACCTGGGACAGGGGATACAGTACCTGGGACAGGGGATTCTTTGCTATCTCCTCTTCACGTTTGATCTGCAGCTCTGTCAGGGATATGTACAAATGCTGAAACAGATGAAGAGACAAGGAATACAAATCTCTACTGAATCAAATGTTCGGTCCTAACATGTACAACTATCAATATATATACAACATTCTGAGTAGTGTATAAAATAATGTTCTTCCTGCACATGCTGTACTGGTCAAAAGTCAAGGCTGACATTACTGTGATACCCAGCATCTAACAATCAAAGAAATATACGGAATCCATTAAATCTGCTTTTGTGATCCACAAATGTTTTCAAACTGAAGAACTATATTGCACTGTGAAAAACGGAGACCAAAGAAATGGGGCTAAATGTGAAGTCTAACCAAAGAAATGGAGCTTAAATGTGAAATTTAACCAAGCCACATAAAGGGACCAAACATGGAAAGAATTTACCTGCTTGAGGACTTTAACACCCTCGTGGATAGGCTGGGGTAGACCAGCTAGTGATGACTGATCTTTCTCGACCTGGAAACCTACGAACTTAATCCTGGTGTGGTCTAAAAATAACTCCAGATCTTTTTGTCTAAAAAATAGACAGTCGAAATTTAAAACAAACAAACAAACTCTATACAAGTTTTTGTATATTCATTTTAACAACTTGGAAAATTATTTGTTTCAAGATGAAAAATTTAATTCTTACAAATAATTGTAACTTAAAATTGAATGAAAACCATTTAATCTTCATATGAATACTTTGTTCATCTGCATATTTGCATGTAAAATATATTAGGTAATTTGAATAATACTTACCATATCACCAAATAAGCTATAAATCTTATTCTTAAGAATATTTAAAGTCTACAATTAAACCAAGAAATGCCTACATCAGACCTTATTGCCAACTATTTAAACAATCTTTGTCAGACTTAAAGCCTCAAGATTCAATGAAGACATTATTTTTTTACACTAAAAAATCCTCTACGCCTATATTGAGACAAAAGCCATTTGACTGTGTACCTGACTTTGGGTTTCCATGGTAACGACTTTTGATGCGGCTGTATAGGGGTTGCAGGTCGTGGAGGTGTAGGGGGTAGCTCGTCGTCACTGCCCCTGTTCATATCCAGCTCGTCTTCGGCACCGTTGTCAAAAGTGTCGTCCGGTAGACTGCTCTGTTTGATCAAACTCTTTATTGTACAAGGCCAAGCAACCAATGGTCAAGTGAAACACCAAACCCATGGATGACCAACCGATGGCAGATGGAGTGTAGATTAGAGGAAAGATGGCGCCAAAAGAAAGGTTAGAAAGCAAGCATGTTAGGCCTAGGCCAGCAGTTCGTGTTAGATAGAGTCGCAACCACTGCATGTTTACTTGTAATCACATTTTTAGCAATTGGTTTCTTATTTTCTGATTGATAAAAACCACAATTTTCTAAAAACTAAATTCCGAAACAAAACAGACGTCACTAGTATTCCTTTTGGTTGGGGTTTCTGGAAAATAAACCAATTGATTTTTGTTCAGCAAGATGGATCAGCAAATTCAAAATGACAGAAAACATTATGCAGTAATGCAGAAGGCTTCGCAATCTTAATTTTTTCTCTCAGTTCAAAACTGAACAAATATTTATTTTTCCAAAATTCCAAGCAGTAAACACCCTTGCAAAGTTTTCTTCAGAAAATCCTCAAAATATATCATTTACACTCTTAGTTTTGTTTTGTAAAAATCTTTAAATGTTCCCTTAATAAACCACACAGGATACATTTTGTTTTGGAGAAGTTGTGTGATTACGAGCAGACATGCTGGTAGAGCTCCTCCTCAGTAACAAACCTGAAGCACACCTCTGTGCTGCAGAGGTAACATACGGTACATAAATAAAATATTTATATACATGTATATATCAATGCATCAACAGCTTCAATGACATGCACCCATCAAACCATTCACCATGCACCTGCTGTCTCTGTATACATTTATATTACACCCATGTAAACACAAGGAGGAGTTAACAATTCAGATTTGGATTTTTAATTTTAATAAGTATGCTTCCAGCTTATGAATTGATATATAGCTTTTAAAGACATTTTTTTTAAAGTTTCTTAGATATGTTACAATTGGTCCCATTTTTGTTTGATTTTAATGTGAAATTAAGACAATTAGGCCAGGACACTTCCAATGACTGATTAGCTCAGTCGGTTACAGCTGAAGTTCAGGGTTTGAATCCTGGTTTAGTGCTGCTTTTTACTGTAACTTTTTACACTGAGTAAAGTATTCTTGATTATATTTTCTTAATTTCATCTTTTTAATTTTTCATAAAATTTTGACTTTTCAGAAATGATTCATCAATGGTATAGTAACACTAGAACAGTTTCCAACACATAGTTACAGTTTAGGGCAGTGGTTCGGGAATTTTTATTTATCTTTTTTTTGTGCTCGAATTTAATTTAAAAAGGATGTCCAAATATATATCTTACAATTCAATACCCCACATTGACTTTAAAAATCTTTTTGAATAACTGACTCTTTCAAAAAGATTTGTTTAAATTTTTTACCATTAAGTATATAAAAGAAACACAACTTTTACAAACATTTAGGTAAAAAGACATGCTACAACCCAACACCAAAACATTTGTAGGACAAATATAATTTGTAGCAGAACTGGACTGGGTCTGTCAGCAGCGACCAGGTAGCTCAATTAGTTCGAGCAGCCATATAGAGTTTGGAAGTCCCGGGTTAGAATCATGGTCTGGCCTTGTATTTTTCTCTTCTGTCATAAGGTTCAGTAAAGACAGCCCATATTTGCAGATTTTGCAATAATGATGCAAAAAGTTTTGATGAATTTGCTTTAAAGTTTATAGTAGTAATATTGTAAAACAAAATCCACTGACTGAAAGAATATCATCATGGACACATAACAATATCTTCGGTGGTCGGTGGCACAGTGGATAGTGCGCCTTTCACCAAGATGGCCGGGGTTCGGTTCCACAAAAGATATGGGGCCACCTTCCCAACCAGGTGTGTTTTCTCTGGGTACTCTGGTTTCCTCCCCCATTAAGACCCCCAGCTCACAGCTAGCATTCTACAATTCTAGCACTGCCCAACCACATACTCATTTACAGCTGAGTACACTGGAACAAGCAGAGTAAAGTATCTTGCTCAAGGATACAACACAGTGCTGTGCCTCGAACCTGTAACCTGCCGGGCTGGTGACCTAAGATCTCACTTTACACTCCCAAAAATGCTTGGCAAGCAGGTAATTTATAACAACAAGGCTATACTGTATGGGACTTAATTAGCACACCTGCAATATTTCATCCTCACAATTTTTGTTTTGAATAATTTACTTAATAACTCTAGCACCATAACTAATGAAGTTCTGATACAGCTAAAACGCTTCTAATAAATATGTATATAGTGATATGATGCCAAAATAAAAGTGAAGCAAGTTTTGATTGCCATTTTTAAAGGTGTAACGCTAAAAATGTAGCCTGCACTATTCTACACTAAATTTGCAACTACATAAGCCAGAAATACTTATTTAACAAAAAGCATTGATTGTTTTCCCAAATTAGCAAAATAGCAAAATTGAACAGAAATATCACGTGAACCTAAGACAAAATTAAATTATTTCAAAACTTGAGTAAATACACTGTGAAAAAATGTCCCTGTCAAATATAAAAGGAACAATACAAAACAGTGCTCATGTTTTTTTGTCTACAAATTTGATTTGATGTGAAGAAGTGGGTTTTATTTATGTGCAAGCTGTGACCCCCACATCCAACAATAGCCTAAACCAAACAAATGGCAGGATGGGTCCATTGTAGGGTGTAGGGGTATATTACTGCCATCCTCGTTCCTCCACACCACCAGTAACCAAGGTCAAAGCCAAGGTGAAGGTCACTCATACATTCCACATGGTTGGTAGGGTTACAATATGGGTCAAACATAGCATTCACTTGAACACAAATGCTCATACATATGAATCTACAGGCAAACACACATAGCATTCAAAGACATTTTATAACAACATGTACTGTATTCCGTCTTTGCATATTGCAGAGTTATCTTCTCTTGGGAGCAGGTATTGATTGTTACGTCACTTGTTTTTGAGAGTAACGTCATAAATTTTTGAGAAAACAACGTAATTTCCTCACACAAACCAATGACGTAACAATCAATCCCTGCCCCAAAGAGAAGATAACTCTGCAATACGCAAAGACGGAATACAGAGAACACATTAAACTTACAATTCACTTAGATTCATCTTTATATATATTGTAAGGTTTTATTCAACCATACAACTGTTGAACTGATGATATTCAACCTGATATCTATTTTACCATTAATATTCAACCTTACAACAATTGTACAGATGTCATTCAACCTTACAACATTTGTACAGATGTCATTCAACCTTACAATAATTGTACAGATGTCATTCAACCTTACAACAATTGTACAGATGTAATTCAACCTTACAACAATTGTACAGATGTCATTCAACCTTACGACATTTGTACAGATGTCATTCAACCTTACAATAATTGTACAGATGTCATTCAACCTTACAACAATTGCATTTCTGATATTCACTGTTAACTAATGCTCAACCTTACATCTTTATTTCAAAATATTTAGCCATACAATTACATCCAACAATTCCAGCACATATTATTATTCACTGTGTTTCTTGATGACAGAAATATTGAGAATCCACATTCTCACACCAGTACATCTTCAATCAATGTGACAGTTGTGTATTATGAGAAAATAATATCTTAAATTCAAAAGACCTAGGCCTGCCTTTAACATATTTTCCTTTATCTATAACCTAAGAACCAATCCCAACTTACCCGTTTGCCTCTAACACCATATCGCCGTGGCATCTGCTGTTCAATGAGGTCAGTTGCAGAGGCTGGAGGAGAGGATGCCCGCATGTTTTTGCACACCTCATAAGTGTCCTCTGGGAGCTTTGGTAGGCCATTTTCTACTCGTACAACATTTTTCTTCTCCTGTAAAGCTCGCAGGCCTCCCAGTGATACCTGTAAAGATTGAAATCAGCATTTCCACCAGACTGGTTACAATACTTGACCATATTGTAAAACCTATGGTTGATGTGGCTAGCTTACAATACTCTACCCTATTGTATAACCTATGGTTGATGTGGCTAGCTTACAATACTCTACCCTATTGTAAAACCTATGGTTGATGTGGCTAGCTTACAATACTCGACCCTATTGTAAAACCTATGGTTGATGTGGCTAGCTTACAATACTCGACCCTATTGTAAAACCTATGGTTGATGTGGCTAGCTTACAATACTCGACCCTATTGTAAAACCTATGGTTGATGTGGCTAGCTTACAATACTCGACCCTATTGTAAAACCTATGGTTGATGTGGCTAGCTTACAATACTCGACCCTATTGTAAAACCTATGGTTGATGTGGCTAGCTTACAATACTCGACCCTATTGTAAAACCTATGGTTGATGTGGCTAGCTTACAATACTCGACCCTATTGTAAAACCTATGGTTGATGTGGCTAGCTTACAATACTCGACCCTATTGTAAAACCTATGGTTGATGTGGCTAGCTTACAATACTCGACCCTATTGTAAAACCTATGGTTGATGTGGCTAGCTTACAATACTCGACCCTATTGTAAAACCTATGGTTGATGTGGCTAGCTTACAATACTCGACCCTATTGTAAAACCTATGGTTGATGTGGCTAGCTTACAATACTCGACCCTATTGTAAAACCTATGGTTGATGTGGCTAGCTTACAATACTCGACCCTATTGTAAAACCTATGGTTGATGTGGCTAGCTTACAATACTCGACCCTATTGTAAAACCTATGGTTGATGTGGCTAGCTTACAATACTCGACCCTATTGTAAAACCTATGGTTGATGTGGCTAGCTTACAATACTCGACCCTATTGTAAAACCTATGGTTGATGTGGCTAGCTTACAATACTCGACCCTATTGTAAAACCTATGGTTGATGTGGCTAGCTTACAATACTCGACCCTATTGTAAAACCTATGGTTGATGTGGCTAGCTTACAATACTCGACCCTATTGTAAAACCTATGGTTGATGTGGCTAGCTTACAATACTCGACCCTATTGTAAAACCTATGGTTGATGTGGCTAGCTTACAATACTCGACCCTATTGTAAAACCTATGGTTGATGTGGCTAGCTTACAATACTCGACCCTATTGTAAAACCTATGGTTGATGTGGCTAGCTTACAATACTCGACCCTATTGTAAAACCTATGGTTGATGTGGCTAGCTTACAATACTCGACCCTATTGTAAAACCTATGGTTGATGTGGCTAGCTTACAATACTCGACCCTATTGTAAAACCTATGGTTGATGTGGCTAGCTTACAATACTCGACCCTATTGTAAAACCTATGGTTGATGTGGCTAGCTTACAATACTCGACCCTATTGTAAAACCTATGGTTGATGTGGCTAGCTTACAATACTCGACCCTATTGTAAAACCTATGGTTGATGTGGCTAGCTTACAATACTCGACCCTATTGTAAAACCTATGGTTGATGTGGCTAGCTTACAATACTCGACCCTATTGTAAAACCTATGGTTGATGTGGCTAGCTTACAATACTCGACCCTATTGTAAAACCTATGGTTGATGTGGCTAGCTTACAATACTCGACCCTATTGTAAAACCTATGGTTGATGTGGCTAGCTTACAATACTCGACCCTATTGTAAAACCTATGGTTGATGTGGCTAGCTTACAATACTCGACCCTATTGTAAAACCTATGGTTGATGTGGCTAGCTTACAATACTCGACCCTATTGTAAAACCTATGGTTGATGTGGCTAGCTTACAATACTCGACCCTATTGTAAAACCTATGGTTGATGTGGCTAGCTTACAATACTCGACCCTATTGTAAAACCTATGGTTGATGTGGCTAGCTTACAATACTCGACCCTATTGTAAAACCTATGGTTGATGTGGCTAGCTTACAATACTCGACCCTATTGTAAAACCTATGGTTGATGTGGCTAGCTTACAATACTCGACCCTATTGTAAAACCTATGGTTGATGTGGCTAGCTTACAATACTCGACCCTATTGTAAAACCTATGGTTGATGTGGCTAGCTTACAATACTCGACCCTATTGTAAAACATATGGTTGATGTGGCTAGCTTACAATAATTAATGTTATAAATTCTACACATCAGAAAAGAATACACTATTCTAAGATATTTATATATTTTATCAATGATAACAACTGCTTCACTGGAGTTGACACTTAAAATGTTCAATCTAGCAATAGTACTTGAAAACTATTCAGCTAATTTTCATTAATGTCATTTGAATCACTTAGAGAAAATCTTGATCATCTTTGAGTAAACTCGGATAGTTATCTTCAAATAGACATGAAGTTACTTAATTTGGAGTAAACCTGGATTAGTTAACTTTGAGTAAACCTAAAAATACTTTCATAAAAGGGATATGACAAGCAAAAAACTAAAATTCAGTTATTTCCTCAAACTGTCAAACTTTCTGATGTAATCAAAACATAAAGACATACCAAGGCAACTTTCCATAGTAGAAGTAAAGCTTTCTTCATGGGGAAGTGTGGAGCATTTCCACTACAGAACTTGGTCACCATTCCAAATAATGTGATCGCTAGTATGTCATCTCCAACACATGGTGTCACTGTTTAGGATACAACGCACAAACTAATTAACGGAGCTTCCTTGGAGCACCCCTCTTAGACATGAAGATTTCAGCAGTTGAACAGATTAAAAGTTGACTGCCCATCGAGCAGGGCTGACCATCAACAGTAGGCTTTAAAAACAGGAGTCTTTCCACGCTAACAAAAGATCTACTTATTTATGGCTGATTATAAGACAAGGAGATCAACTTCATTACGTGAAATTGTATTCAGTTCAAATATGGATCTCTGATGCAGTTTCTACACAAAAATCTAAGTCTTTTCATGACATTTAGATATATTATTACATGAAAGTATGAAAGTAAGATATATACTTCTGGTAAAATATTAATTTTCAGTTCAAAATAATATCACCATGATAATTGACCAACCCAGATCTTCCTTGAAGAGTTCCTGGTTGCGTTTCTGTTCCTCGGACATACTTTCTGGTGGCAGTCTCATGGTCTCCACCATCGTATAGAGAGCATTTAACAACAGTCTGTAAGTTAAAGTTTAACTATACTAACAGGCTGATTTAGTATTCTGTACCTTCTCTGTATCCAAATCAGAATTGATCCCATCAACAAACACAGTGGCTTAGTATTGGGATTTTTATGAAAACTGTATAAATTGTCTTCCTTTATGGTGAGTGCAGATGTCATTTACCATACATAAACCCTTTCCAGAAATTTCTAACACCAATGATGATTTGACCATAGCCGATATCGACATCGATTTTATGGACAACTCGTACACATTTTATACCTTTGTGTGCATACGCTTCATTGGTCATTTGTCTGATGAAGGTGACAGTGTACATATCGTACTAGTCATTGAAACATCACATAGAAAATCGTATTGGTTGTGTAAAAAGAACTTCTCATACAGTTTTATTGTTCCTTTTCAATGAAAGAGTAACTTTATTTGCTACACCACAGATCTATCATACAATTTATGTCAAAACTTTAATTAAAATATCAAATTCAATCGGGTTCAGTTTAACAATAAAATAAGTTTTCAATAAACTTCACTTACAATCTGTAAAATTAGTTTTACTTTTCACATATGCTGTGATAAAATCTAGAGACATTTTGATATCAACAGGTAGTTTCAAAAAGGAGAAATATTGTGATATTTAGTTTCCATAGCACACAGTAGTGAACACATTTACTAGAAAAAAAGATGCTCTATATTTTCATTTATATCCATTCAATAATGTTGAAATGTTCATTTCCTAAAAAACATGTATAATTATTAATACTGAATAGTTTGAATTATCAATGATATTTTGTTGTTAAAGGGGCTGGTCGGGGAAAAAATACAAAATAAATGGGTCTAAATGCGTTCTCTGGCCTTCCAAAAGTTATACCACGACAATATGATGGTCGAGTTCTGCTTGCAATGTCCAGTTTTGACCACTAAAATATCGGGGAAACCCCGCGTAAATTGAGCGCAGATCTATTTATATATGTCACATGGTTGTTTCGAAAGTGAGGCAGTGAAGATAACAACAATAGCACGCCGTCATGTGCCATGTCGGACTCAACTAGCGGACAAGACAGCAATACTATACGTAAATATTTGTTTTCAAAGGTCATGTATGATGCAAGTGTAGTATTCCTACTTATATGTTGTTGTTATATATAACGGTATTGATACCTTGTGCCTGTCATGACTTTTGCATGCATCTTTTTCTGTTGCCGCGATGTTTACATTTGGCCTTGTTGATGACGCGCGTGCAGTAAAATTACATCACTGATCTGGGTCAATTGAGAGTTTTAGACTGCAGGTGACGATTTAAAATTTCTTAAATTTAATTATAACTTTTACTCTAAGGGGGTGAATTTCAGCAAAATTTGTATCGGTATATTTCATAAGAAGGTATTTTAAACATGGGTATGCCATTTTAGCAAATATGACATTTTTTCCCCGACCAGCCCCTTTAATTATCATTTAAATAAAAGTAAGAAATTGTAAAAATCTTCAGCATAACTCACCTTAGATCTTTGCTATCAGCCACAGACACAGCTGGTTTGCGTAGAGCATTAGATGCAGCAGCAGTATTCCTTAAATAACAAAATAAAATATTTTAAAATTTCTTATAACTCCCTGCTAAAGTTGGAATTGCAAGCTTACTAATACAACCACGTGACATCTTCAGGGCTATCATTTGGTTTTAATGCTAAAATGAGTTATACCATTCACAATGAAAAATATAGTGCATTGTAAAAAATACCTGGCTTTCTGTTGAAGTCCCATTCATATTTTTGCAGTACTTTTATAGATTTTGTTCAGGTAAAGGGGTCCATAACAAAACGTTGAATGTAAATTGCATATGTCACAACTCCCTAACCATATGTAACAACTCCCTTGCGATATGTAACAACTCCCTAGCCATATGTAACAACTCCCGAGCCATATGTAACAACCCGGGAGCCATATGTAACACCTCCCTTGCGATATGTAACATCTCCCTAGCCATATGTAACAGCTCCCTTGCCATATGTATCAACACTTGCCATATGTAACAACCCTTGCCATATGTACCAACTCCCTAGCCATATGTTACAACTCCCTTGCCATATGTAACACCTCCCTAACCATATGTAACAACTCCCTAGGCGGATGTAACAACTCCCTAGCCATAGGTAACAACTCCCTTGCCATTTGTAACAACTCCCAAGCCATATGTAACAACTCCTTAGCCATATGTAAAAACTGCCTAGCCATATGTAACAACGCCCTTGCCATATTTAACAACTGCCTTGCCATATGTAACAAAACTCTTGCCATATGTAACAACCCCCTTGCCATATGTAACAACTCTCTTGCCATATGTAACAACACTCTACCCATATGTAACAACACTCTACCCATATGTAACAACACTCTTCCCATATGTAACAACCCTCTGGCCATATGAAACACCCCCCTACCCATATGTAACAACCCCCTAGCCATATGTAACACCTCCCGAGCCATATGTAACAACCCTCTGGCCATATGAAACACCCCCCTAGCCATATGTCACAACTCCCTAGCCATATGTTACAACTCCCTTGTCATATGTAACAACTCCCTTGCGATATTTAACAACTCCCTAGCCATATATAACACCTCCCTTGCCATATGTCACAACCCCCTTGCCATATGTAACAACACTCTACCCATATGTAACAACACTCTTCCCATATGTAACAACCCTCTTGCCATATGTAACACCCCCCTTGCCATATGTAACACCCCCCGAGCCATATGTAACAACCCCGGAGCCATATGTAACACCCCCCTTGCCATATGTAACACCCCCCTTGCCATATTTAACACCTCCCTAGCCATATGTAACAGCTCCCTTGCCATATGTAACAACTCCCTAGCCATAGGTACCAACTCCCTTGCCATATTTAACACCCCCCTAGCCATATGTCACAACTCCCTAACCATATGCAACATCTCCCTTGCGATATGTAACAACTCCCTAGCCTTATGTAACAACTCACTTGCCATATGTAACAACTCCCCAGCCATATGTAACAACCCCCTTGCGATATGTAACAACTCCTTAGCCATATGTAACAACTCACGATCCATATGTAACAACTCCCTAACCATATGCAACAACTCCCTAGCCATATATAACACCTCCCTTGCCATATGTAACAACCCTCTAGCCATATGTAACAACACTCTTCCCATATGTAACAACCCTCTGGCCATATGAAACACCCCCCTACCCATATGTAACAACCCTCTAGCCATATGTAACAACCCCGGAGCCATATGTAACAACCCTCTGGCCATATGAAACACCCCCCTACCCATATGTAACAACCCCCTTGCCATATTAAACAACGCCATTGCCTTATGTAACAACTCCCTAGCCTTATGTAACAACTCACTTGCCATATGTAACAACCCTCTAGCCATATGTAACAACCCCGGAGCCATATGTAACAACCCTCTTGCCATATGTAACAACTCCTTAGCCATATGTAACAACTCCCTAACCATATGTACCAACTCCCTAGCCATATGTAACAACTCCCTTGCAAACTTATAAAGTGTTATAAACTTAAAAACTTATAAACATTCAGAAGAGTTTAAGAGAAGCATCGCAGACAAAGTTGTGTATACAAATGGGGACGGACAAGGGCTGTAACGATATGCCGCGGTGCACCGAAAACCCCGCTAAATTGCTTCGGTTTGGTGTACGATATGTTTTTTCCGTGTATCGGTTCGGTTCGGTTTTTAGTATTACCTGGCTTCCGGAATTTAACCATACATGTGTAACGTAAAATTTGATTAGCTCATATGATAAAAGCTGTGCAACAGTTGTTGCTGTTACAAATCTTTGCATAAACAAGCATGCAACATGGCGGAGCTTCAATTAAAATAAACTCCCGCTTCCTTTCGCTCGCCTGTTTGGCAGCATTTTGGATTCCTGCTAAATGTCCCTGATTGAAAATCACTCTCCACTTGCCGCATACGTTTCGTAGATGTAAGTTACAAGTCAGTGAACACATCAAACATGGCGACGCATTTGAAGAGGAAGCATAACATTTCGTCATCCTGTATCATATCAAAATGTATCGTACCATGGGTAGATATTGTGATAGGTATCGTATTGTGGCATAGGTGTATCGTTACAGCCCTAACGGACAGACACCCTGATTCCTGTATACACAAACAACAACATTAATTGTAACCTAATCAATATTCATGTGAACTTTTTCAACATCAATATTTAATCAGTTTTTCGTTCCAAACTGAATCATATATTATGCAGAGCTGACAGGTTAAGTTTGAAGTCCTTTATCATAACATAGAACTTACTCGATTTCCATTGACAAGACCTCAGCAAAAGAGATGAACAGGCCCTGTTCATAGAGCATGTGTACATTGGTCATCACCCAGTCTCGCTGTTGGTCCTCAGCGTCACACTCTCCATGTACCCCTACAAACCAGTACAAACATATATATCTATGTTTAATTGTGATATTTTTTCTGTCTGTTTAGAAGCTAAATGACGAAAAAAATTCTTGTATCAAGAACGTGCATGGGTGGTGAGGTCTAAAATAATTATAAGAATTATAGAGAGAAGATGGGCAAAAAGTGATGAAGGTATTCAATCCTTCCATAGACATTCAAGGCCATGTTCATTAATCCAAATTTTAAGAAATTGTAAACCCAATATTTAAATGACGCTGATTAACGTGTAGCGACTGAAAACATATAGTTTGCATCAACACAATGGTTTGTCAATATTAAACTACACAAGGAAAAAAACACAAATGTTTTAAGTTATACAGTATCATAGCTAGAGTGGGAGAAACTTAAAGACTTTATTCAGGCGACTAGTCAATGTCTGGTACTTTCTTAATGACATTATATAAATGTTGTAAAATATACATGTACTGTCATACTTTCATTTTCTTCTATCACAGCAAATATCTTTGTATAGATTCAGATTTCCTAGTGAATTTCCCCAGTTATAGAAACATTTCTGTTGAAAAAATTGTGTTAACTTATCGTAAGGCCTATCAGATTTTGACTCACCAGGCCCTGCATGTCATTTATCTGATGTTAGACACAAACCTTGTAGGAGGTAGAGTAATTAGGCCATCAGCGCATTAAACCCGGCCCTGCCATACTTGCAAACTTTATGAAATTTCCATGGGGGAGAATTTGCATGCTCAAAATTCAAACATAAATAAAATGTGTGAATATACCCACAGACACCATATCACCCTTTAAAATGACATATTTTGAGTTGTTCTTTCAGATGAAATCATCAGATCTTAGAATATGGGAATAGTTTAGCAAACTCACTGGTTGAAAATACTAAATTTAAGTGTGTAAAATCGTGAGTCTCCCTTCTAAATAGGAAGGGTTGGCAAGTATGCCCTGCATGACATTTATCTGATGTAAGACACGAACCTTGTAGGAGGTAGAGTAAGGCCATCAGCGCATTAAACCGTCGATCACGGTCAGCCATTTCTAGCTCATTCTGTAAAAATACGACGTGTTTCCTCTGGATTTCTGGAGATGCAGTCGTCCACTTGTCATACCCTATAAAAACAAAATAAAATATAAATATAAATTACATCCATAAATCTGAACAGAAAAGTTCTCCATTTTCTTTCTTTTTGTAAGGGCAATTCCAGATATGAATATGAGATGAGTGTGAGATGAGTGGATTTTTTTTTGGGGGGGGGGGACAGGGAGGCATTTAAATTGATAACATATGGATGTTTTGACACAAAATGATTATTTTAGTATGCTCTAGAAAAAAATATGTCATTGGGGTCACAGAGAAGGGCGCAATGCATTCCATGTAAACAGTATTTATTTCTATTAACATATAAGTTTATTTTCAAAGTGCTAGTATCTATTATTTTCGCAAAACTTACGTGGGTTTTACTTTCCTTTCCTTATTACAGCTATATAAGCTCATTATTTGTTGTTTACAAACAAATCTTGCAAACAAATCTGAGATTTCAAACAAAATTTGACTACAGTAAAATAAATGCTGGCAAAGCATATATATACATCTGTCCCAGATCACCTTCATAATATATCTATCATAATATGAAATAAGGTAAGCACAAACCTTTCAGGTCAAATCCTTGTTCAAATGCCTTTCTTGTTTCCACAAACTCGGATTCCTCTGTATAACTATACAATTCTAGAAAATAAAAAAACAATGCCAAAGATAATCTTGATTTTCCACCAGACTTTTTCACCATTGAAATCAGCAAAAATCTATAAATTTTGCTTTTTCTGAAATAAATACTTCACTGCATACCACACTGCTACTATGAACGTACGCACTACATTTAGGGGTCATTAAGGGGTCATTTAAATGTAAAACATGTTTACATTTTGACTTATATCATAGTTCTCCCACATGAAAAATGATGAATTCTGTTAGTATAAGAACATACAATTGTTAACAATCAATCTTTTTTCCAAAAATTAAGGTTAGGACAACCGAAATGCAAGCTTTTTTAACGATATATATTATTACCTGCCATTTCAGCACGATACGTGTCTGCATCATCATAAGTATATTCAATGTCAGGGGTTTCACACATACTCTGTAATGAATAAATAGTGTCCATTCATCATGTAAATCATAAATAGCCTATTTCTAACATTTAAATTGCAGTCCATTTCAAAAGACATATATATGCATGAAATATGCAAAGGCAGCTATGAAAGATTTAATGTTGTATAGGTTATAAATGCACTAAAGTCAAATCTTAATGAGAACTTTTTTTTCTTAATTCTTAGCCAGCAAATATCATCTATATGTACATATGCATGCTTACACCAAATTAAAAGTTTGGTAATCAAGAGACATTTAAATTCTTTAAGGTTCCTTGCTAATACTGCAATAAGTTTGGGTTAATGCAAAATGTGCCTCTGTTGGGGACAGAACACAAGACTTTTTCTGGTATGAGGCTCTACTTTTGAGGTGGCATTGACAATGGGGTCACAGTCGTTTCGATACTTCAAAAAGAAGATGTTTCGGTACTTTTTGTAAGTCGTTTCAGTACCTGTATTTAAATTGTTTCGGTACTTTGTTTATTAGATGATAAATATTTCTCATTTGTTATTTATTGTTGGTTGTTTATATTTAACGTTTGCTTTCGTATAAGAAATGACTTTGTACCGAAGCGACTAGAATTCTTGACAATATATGTATACTACATGCCCATCCTTCAGGAAACAAACACCAAGCATTTAATTTACTGTGAATTTTATTAACATGTCTCTGTGTACCTCCTCATAGTGCTCGTAATCACCATGGCTGGAGTCGGACAGATTGAGATAACCAGAGTCTGGATTTAAATGTCTCGGATACCATAAACAAAACAACAATAAAAGAGAGAAACCCCCACACACAACGAGGGAAGATTGTCAGCGTTCACGCGACTACGTAGCTCAATAATGCTAGAGTATCCATCTCCAGTTTGGAGAGTCTCGGGTTGAAATCCCAGTGCAGATGTTAAATTCTCTTCCTCCTGTTACATACATTTTACCCATTCTACACCGTTTTAACACATTACTTTAAAAGAAACAGAACGGATACTGATAAATTTGAAATTAATACCAACATCAGATTTATTTCATCAGATGCAATATATGGAATCTTGAGTATAATACTTGAAAATCATATTATCATCCCACATTTTTTTTAAATTATCTTTGTCAATATTACTCGACAAACTGATGTATAATCGTCTTCTACATCATCCTAAAAGATCCTTGTAATAAAATGTTAATGAGATTCGGTCATAAACTGGAACAAAATCGAAACAAAACTACTAAATTTAGAACAACAGAAAACACATTTAACTTAAATTGCAACCTCAGAAAAGGAGTCTTCTCTCTGCCTTCTCAATAAATCTCTCAATTTTGGCAATCCCTCTGCCTTCCTGGGTCCTGAAGCCTCCATTTTGGAGGCTGTCAACAGGAAGTGAATTTTTATCAACGAACGATAACTCTGACCCAACATTTTCATACGCAAAAGTTTGTCTTTTCGAGTGCAGAAGGTAGACTTCGTATTTTGATAGTGAAATATTTAAGTGTCGGTGTAAGTATCTAGCGACATAATGCCTGAGGGAGCATTACCTAAGAAGCAAAAATGTGAAGATCTGGCCGTGACAAAGTTTAGGGAGTACATACGGATCCGATCTGTGCACCCTGATCCCGACTATGGTAATTTACGTGCCTCCATATTCAATTATTTTTACTAGGCCGGTCAGGACATAATATATTCTATAGTATAAATTTGTGGTATGTTGTAATTGTTTATTTTTTGGGTATTTTTACTACCTCGGTTGTTTGTTACGTGTTGTTTTCCTGTTGAAGTAAACTTTATTAGATCTATATACTTTTTATTTCTATTTTTTTTATTTTTTACAAATGCAATATTCATATTTTGTTTCACACAATTCTTAATCAAAGATAACTGAGACATCTTTTGAGTTTTAGTCATGTCCCTAATTTGAAAACTGAAGCAAATTAATAAACTATGATATGCTCAAGGTCAACCATAATGTTCATTAGTAGATCATAATGTTACAGTGCTTACACATTTTGTGAGACGTGCAGCCCCTTTTTTGGCTGCCTGGTACAGTGTGCCAGAGAGCTGTATTCATGAGCATGTTTTTAGTGTCTCTGAGCAAGAAACAATGAAAGCTGCTAGAATTTTTGATAGAAAAGTAGAAGGATATTGCATTGTGTGGTGTTTCCTGACGTCGGCAAGGGAGACATCTTGGAAATCTATCACCCTGAATATCTATAGCTACTGACTTTAAGTTTGATCTATTGATCATACAACTTAAATCAATTTGTGATTTTTGATAAATTTATTTTAAGTTTTGGATCATTCAATGTTATTTGATTTAGACGCCATTTTGAAAAACTATTTCAAACTTAAAGTCAAGTTCTGCTAGGACAATTGAACTGAAACTTTGTAGGAATGATCGACTCATGGTCCTGACAAAGTGTTGTTATTTTTTTGTGTCAATCAGAAATCCAACATGGCCACCAAGGCCGCCATTTAAAGTCAAGTTCTACTTGGCCGATTGAACTGAAACTTTATAGGAATGATCGACTCGTGGTCCTGACAAAGTTTTGTTATTTTTCGGGTCGATCAGAAATACAATTTGGCTGCCATGGCCGCTATTTTGAAAATACCTATTTCAAACTTGAAAACAAGTTCTAATAGGCAGATCTAACTGTCTAGGAATGATCAGCTCATGGTCCTGACAAAGTTAAGTTAACGTTATACTTAACAATTTTTTACTCAAATTGGTACAATTATTTCAACAACAAAAATAAATACTGTAGGACTCAGGTGACCGTTAAGGCCCATGGGTCTCTTGTTAAATTCATGTTTACACTTATATCGGAATGCTTTGGGATCAGTTCAAGGCATTCGAACATAGGTGTAAACGTGAATTTAAAAAGGCCAAAATATCAGGTATCGATACACCAAAGCAGAAGGCCATAACAAATAACACTAAACCAGTTTGGTGCTTCGTGAAATCAAGGAGATAGGAAAACTTAGGAGATTCCCCACTGAAAGTGAATGGAGGCACGGTCGTCTCGCGGTAGGACGCAGGGCTCGTGACCGAAGGGTTGCAGTTTCGCGTCACGTTACTGCACTGTGTTGTATCTTTGAGCAAGATATTTTACTCTGCTTGTTCCAGTGTACTCAGCTGTAAATGATTTTCTGGTTAGGCAGTGCTAGAATTGTTGAATGCTAGCTGTGAGCACAGAAATGGCAGCACCGACTGTTTGCTTCCCAGAGAGTTGAGAAAGATATTGGGTGGTTGCGAAGGCCCTATAAGTCTTATAGAATATAACCACAGATAATAATTTGTGAATCGCTTTGAGACAACCTAGGAACTAGGTGATAAAGCGGTATATAAGAACCTCAAATTATTATTATTATTATTATTAATGGAGCACTCATGAACAGTAGTGTTGATAAAGCCCGAATCCTACTGGACCAGTTTGTGTCAGTATTTACCACCAATACATCCACACCATCCAGTATGACATCAACGCCGAAGGTTAGACACCAGCTACCACCACTGGTAATTACAGCCACAGGAATAGCTAAACTACTCTCCTGACTATAGACTCATAAGACGAAATGACCAGACGGCATTCCGAATCAAAACCTTAAAAACTGTGCAGACAAATTTACACACATATTCCAGTGCTCCATAGCATCCGGCCACCTGCCCAAGGACTGGAGAATGTCTCACCCATTTTTAAGAAGGGGAATGTTAACTTACCTAAGAACTACCATCCAGTGTCTTTGACTTAGGTCTTGTGTAAAGTCCTTGAACATATTTTGCGCAATCACATACTCGACCACTTGGACAAAAACATGATTTTAACCAGACTGGCTTCATGGTCAGTTTCTACTGTAAAATGCAGCTCATAAGGACAATGTGTGACCTCCTAAATAATCATGATAAAGGCACGCCAACACGTTATAGTCTTAGACTGCTCGAAAGCCTTGAACACTGTGCCCCACAGAAAACTGCCTTTCAAGATGAAGAATTACATTATCGATGAACCTGTCCATCAATGGCTGACATCGTTTCTGTGTTGACCATGACATGAGAGTAGTTGTTGGCGGAGAACACTCGCGGAGATCATCAGTACTATCCAGAGTTCCGCAGGGTCAGTCCTTGGCCCCCTGCTATTTCTCTGCCATATCAACGATCTCTCTGAATCAGTCTCCTCACTAGTGCCATATCAACGATCTCTCTGAATCAGTCTCCTCACTAGTGCGTCTATTTGCAGAAGACTGTCTCCTTTACCGGAAGATAAAATCACTCCGGGACACCACTAAATTGCACGAAGATCTTTTTAAATTGGAAGAAAGGGCTAAAGCATAGGGGAGGTCATTCAGTGCAAAGAAGTATACCGTTCTGCATATATAGACAGCAAAAACCTCAGTTCTACAAACTAGGTGAACACTTCCTACAACAGACGTCTGAAAGTCCTGATAATCTGAAATGGAACTCCAGCATCAACAAAACCGTCAAGAAAGCAAACTGTTCGCTGGGTTTTATTATCAGAAACCTCAAAAGTTGCCCAGCGAATGTCTTAGAACAGCCTATCTCTGCCTTGTTAGATCCATTCTTTAGTACGGGTCAACCGTCTGGGACCCCTACGTACAACAAGACATAAACAGACTCGAGCAAGTGCAAAGGAAAGCAGCAAGATTTATCTCTGGAGACTTCCGTTCACGAGAGGGAGGATGTGTGACCAAAACGTTACGGGACGCGGGCCTGTCCCTGCTTACAGAACGACGTCGAATGCTTCGCCTGATCATGTTCTATAAATTGGTCGACGGTGTGGTGCCAGCCTTACCTTCGCATGAGTTCCTGACACCAATTGCCGGAAACAAACATAAAAAAATTCCACAGGATTTTAGTGACTATCAGTATAATAACACTGTTGAAAATTCCTCCTTCAATAATCCAAAGTGTTTCAAAGTCCAGAATTATAAAACAGAACAGTTTAAAAATTCTTTTTTCAACAAGACAACTATTGACTGGAACCATCTGACCGACATCTCCACGCATAGTACCATGGTGGAGAGTTTCAAAGGAACACCCCCCTCCAGAACTACTAGATTACCTAACACTCCTCCCCGACGCGATACATGTCCTGAGGGGCCCTGCACCGTATATCCTCAGATACAGAACTTCAGCATTGTTATATATATGATGTGAATATGTAAATGTTGTCATAATTATGACCAATACAACCTATAATTAGGACTGATCTATATATTGATATGTGGTTTAACATGTATGTATCTTATTTTATTGATGCAGTACTTCTCATATAATGACAGAAACAGACGTAAGGGAGATTGCCAGCTAGGGACCAATAGAGATTCTACAGTATGTCCCACTGGTGTTTGTTTACCCAACTGTGAACTGAACATGTCACAAATAGGGCCATCCTGTGGCTCCTTGTGTCCTACTTAATTCACACCTGTGCCATAGCATAAACCATTATTCAACAGTCTATACTGATTCATGTCAGCAGCATCACAACATCTTGCAGACCGATGAAATGTGAAACTATTTTTCAAACACAAATAACGCAAATATATCATATATATCTACCATAAAATCAGCATGAAAATTGCTCAGCTTTTTTATTTAAAATAATAAACTTGATAAGGGCGTAGAAAAATAGAAGTTAGCTTTTCAAGGACTGTACCACTGTGCTTGTAATACCTGTGTATGTATGGGGAAATATTGAAATTCTTCCTGTCAATACAGAGGCTTGCAGTTATTCTGACCCCAAATTTTTACACCCAAGGATAACATTAATAATTGTCATCCTTTAAAGCTCATTTAAACATCAAAATATAAATTGTTTAATGATGTTCCTATATTACAATAGGATACCTGTGTTATTGTTCTTTGTTCTTCTGTTTTCAGATGGAGCTATTTCCTTTCTCAGAAATTATGCAGAAGAGATTGGTCTGCCATTTCAGACAGTTGAGGTATGTTTTATTGTCCAACCACCATAAATGTATAACAGCCTAATAAACTCAACAGCTAATCATTCGTTATTCTGTAAACACTAAATCTTCAAAATCCAAACTGCTTTAATGGGGCCCTAATAGATTTGTTCTTATGATCTGGTATTTATCTTATGTTGTTGTAACAAAAAAAGATGGGGCTGCCCTGGCTGAGTTGTTAGGTGTCTGACATTCTGCTACCACTAGCCCTCCACCACTGGATCGTGGGTTTGAGGCCTTTGTGGGGCAGTTGCCAGGTACTGGCTGCAGGTTGGTGTTTTTTCTTCGGTTTCTCTGGCTTTCCTCCACCACCAAAACCTGGCACGTCCTTAAATGATCATAGCTGTTAATAGGACGTAATACACAAACAAAGAAGATAAAAATTTCAGCTTACCTGCCCTTTATTTGATAGGTACATCCTGGGCGCCTGGTGGCCATCATGACTTGGGAAGGACTGGACCCATCCCTGCCTTCCATAATGCTCAACTCTCACACTGATGTTGTCCCTGTTTTTACAGTATGTTCACTCCCTTCTGAATGGTCAAACTCACAAACACTAGTGATTTAAGAATAAATCTTCATAATTAATGTTTATCATATCCAACATATGGTTTATCTAAAATTTAATTTCTTTGATAATGTTTTGTTTTGTTTTATTGATTGTTCCTCTCAATTTCAATAAATTGATTAAATAAACAACTATGGTTCAGCCATACTGTAACAATTTTGGAAAAACAAAGTGTTTTCATCATTTCAATATTGGGACAAGATTGCTCGTTTGTCTAACTTCAGTCCCCAGACTACCGAACAAGGTACCTGATAAATCAAGGAGTTGTCAGCATTTAATTAGAAATTTATGTCATTGTATTAACAGGAACATTGGAAAGTCGACCCGTTTGCCGCGGAGAAGATGGAGAACGGTGACATCTATGGAAGAGGAACACAGGTACAAATCAACTCACTCATAGTGGAGGGGTTGTCTACCTTACAATGTTTAAAAAATAAATATTGGTGCATTTCTCAATCCTGTACATGCATTTGAACCAAAGAGGTGTAAATTAATTTTAAAAGCTCTGAAGCGCCTAAAACTGAAGAACTACCTGGAATAGAAATGGTTATTTCTTGTTTGTGTGAAAGGCTATTGATGTACATGTAATGACAACTGGGAAAGGATTCAAAATAAGCTCCAAGCTTCTTTTCCAATTCCTCTGAAATTAAATGTATGTTATAGCTGCTGTATTACTGGATAGAAAACTGTTTTAACTTAACTAATAACTACTGACCCAATCTGCCTGTAGATATAAGATGGACGGAGATAATTCTGATGCAAATGTATAAGATAACCATACCTGCCAACTGTCCCTACTTAGGAGGGAAACTCTCCATTTTGGACCCAAAAATTAAGCATTTTCAACCAGTGAGTTTGCAAAATTGTTCCTGTTTTCTAGGATCTGGTGATTTCATTTGAAAGGATGTCTCAATAGATGCCATTTAAGACTGTTATGTTTTCCCTAGGGTGTACATACACACATGCCATTTAAGACTGTTATGTTTTCCCTAGGGTGTACATACACACATTTTATTTACGATTTTAATTCTGACCATGCGTAAGCTCCCCCATGGAAATTTCGACAAGTTGGCAAGTAGGGGTAATATTTTCATTTCAAACTATTTTATTTAAATCAATTGATTCAATGGGAATTGGGCAACAGGCTATGCCTATACAAGCCCTCTCCCTTGAATGTATGGGTAATATTATCCTTAAATCAACCTAACTGCCATTTGGATGCTGTTTAATTCATAAATAAAATATTTGATTGAAAGTCATCATAAAATATTTGATTGAAAGTCATCATTTAAATTCCATATCAACCAGTAGACAGTGATGTAGTCAGGTTTCTGTTAAGATATTTTTTATTCCATGGTTGGTCTTTTTTTTGTAGGTACATTGTACGCGATTGCTGTGTATACCTCGGGATAAATGTCTGACAATGTATTTTTAATTATTTTTACAGGATATGAAGTGTAATGCAATAATGTAAGTTGATCTTACAGTACCTTTACATGACCATTTACACAGATATCTGAATCAGTTTATACAGTAGTGACTCTGATGTGCTGTATCAGTTTATACAGTAGTGACTCTGATGTGCTGTATCAGTTTATACAGTAGTGACTCTGATGTGCTGTATCAGTTTATACAGTAGTGACTCTGATGTGCTGTATCAGTTTATACAGTAGTGACTCTGATGTGCTGTATCAGTTTATACAGTAGTGACTCTGATGTGCTGTATCAGTTTATACAGTAGTGACTCTGATGTGCTGTATCAGTTTATACAGTAGTGACTCTGATGTGCTGTATCAGTTTATACAGTAGTGACTCTGATGTGCTGTATCAGTTTATACAGTAGTGACTCTGATGTGCTGTATCAGTTTATACAGTAGTGACTCTGATGTGCTGTATCAGTTTATACAGTAGTGACTCTGATGTGCTGTATCAGTTTATACAGTAGTGACTCTGATGTGCTGTATCAGTTTATACAGTAGTGACTCTGATGTGCTGTATCAGTTTATACAGTAGTGACTCTGATGTGCTGTATCAGTTTATACAGTAGTGACTCTGATGTGCTGTATCAGTTTATACAGTAGTGACTCTGATGTGCTGTATCAGTTTATACAGTAGTGACTCTGATGTGCTGTATCAGTTTATACAGTAGTGACTCTGATGTGCTGTATCAGTTTATACAGTAGTGACTCTGATGTGCTGTATCAGTTTATACAGTAGTGACTCTGATGTGCTGTATCAGTTTATACAGTAGTGACTCTGATGTGCTGTATCAGTTTATACAGTAGTGACTCTGATGTGCTGTATCAGTTTATACAGTAGTGACTCTGATGTGCTGTATCAGTTTATACAGTAGTGACTCTGATGTGCTGTATCAGTTTATACAGTAGTGACTCTGATGTGCTGTATCAGTTTATACAGTAGTGACTCTGATGTGCTGTATCAGTTTATACAGTAGTGACTCTGATGTGCTGTATCAGTTTATACAGTAGTGACTCTGATGTGCTGTATCAGTTTATACAGTAGTGACTCTGATGTGCTGTATCAGTTTATACAGTAGTGACTCTGATGTGCTGTATCAGTTTATACAGTAGTGACTCTGATGTGCTGTATCAGTTTATACAGTAGTGACTCTGATGTGCTGTATCAGTTTATACAGTAGTGACTCTGATGTGCTGTATCAGTTTATACAGTAGTGACTCTGATGTGCTGTATCAGTTTATACAGTAGTGACTCTGATGTGCTGTATCAGTTTATACAGTAGTGACTCTGATGTGCTGTATCAGTTTATACAGTAGTGACTCTGATGTGCTGTATCAGTTTATACAGTAGTGACTCTGATGTGCTGTATCAGTTTATACAGTAGTGACTCTGATGTGCTGTATCAGTTTATACAGTAGTGACTCTGATGTGCTGTATCAGTTTATACAGTAGTGACTCTGATGTGCTGTATCAGTTTATACAGTAGTGACTCTGATGTGCTGTATCAGTTTATACAGTAGTGACTCTGATGTGCTGTATCAGTTTATACAGTAGTGACTCTGATGTGCTGTATCAGTTTATACAGTAGTGACTCTGATGTGCTGTATCAGTTTATACAGTAGTGACTCTGATGTGCTGTATCAGTTTATACAGTAGTGACTCTGATGTGCTGTATCAGTTTATACAGTAGTGACTCTGATGTGCTGTATCAGTTTATACAGTAGTGACTCTGATGTGCTGTATTAGTTTATACAGTAGTGACTCTGATGTGCTGTATCAGTTTATACAATAGTGACTCTGATGTGCTGTATCATAGACACTTCTCTTACTGGTGTTCATGGTGTTTCAGGAAAACTCTAGATACGCTTCTTTGGATTAAAGTGAAAATCCCTTTTTCTTACCAGCTATTTCAAAAACTTACACAAATATTTTTTTAATTTTTTTATGTATATTATCATGGCATACATTGTGTACATTTGAAAAAGATTTATTGTAGTTTATTCAATTTTCAAGATCTGTTTGTGTTTTTTGTTGATGACTTTGCAAACAGCAAAATAATGTAGGACTTATTAATATTCAGTGAAACTGTTTCACAAGAAAAGTGAAGCAGATGATAGGTACCTATCACATATTGTAATATAGGGTATATCTGTAGTAGGTAAGGGCATTCCCTGTTCTGCCTCTCCTGTTGAGTTCTACAGTTTTCCTGTGATTTTTGCTTATGATTGTACTACATATTTGGTAATACTTACAAGAGAATTAATTCGCTATATTTAAGTCTCCAAAAGTAGTATGAAATAAAATATTCAGCAAATATTCATTTCATGATAAAAGCTTTGTGAATATATATATTCAGACATATAAACAACTATGCATAAAGTTTTACTAAAAAAAACGTAACATTTTCATCAGCACTATTGCACAACCAGTTTGAAAAGAATACAATTAAACTTTTTTAACAGCAAATGACATTGTGCATTGTCACATGTTTCATCATTCTTGTATACTGCATTTCTAAGGTGCGAAATTATCTTTTCTTGTTACTGTAGATTCCTGGAGGCTGTTCGTCGAATAAAGACAGAAGGGCAGAGATTGAACAGGACAATCCATCTCACCTTTGTGCCAGGTAGATAACATACAGTNTAGTCTGAAATCTGTATGCTAGATATTGAGTAAGGTGGTTTTATTGTTTTTTGTCACTTTGAATAATATTTCTGTTCATGTTAAAAACAAAATCAACTCTCTGTATAAATATATCAGGTGACCGTTAAGGCCCATGGGCCTCTTGTTAACATTGCATCTGCACAAATCTTTCTTTTTTATTTAAAGTGATATTTTGTTAACAGAACTGAAATTTTAAAAATCCAGGGTACCCTACTGTGAGGGTGAAATTGATTTCCTTTCCAGAAGAGTTTTTAACCATGACACCTGTAACTATATT